ATACCGCGAGTAAGAAAAATCGTACAACTTGCTATAGTTGATAATAATGTCGTGAGAGAGTCGTGAGTAAATCTTATTAATTTAATCGTTTCTTCCCATGGTCGTTATTACGGGAGATAATTTATTTTAGGTTATGATGAATCGTCAATTATTTTTTATCGTTAATTATTGATGTAATTACACTTCCGCTTTACTTGAATGAGATTTTGTCTCAATCAATTTCCAATGATTCGAAAATCCTGCTTTTTCTTTCTTTTTTTTTAAGGCTCCAGAAATCTATGTAACGAGATCTAGTGTTTTTTTTGTAATTAATTGCTTTGGATTCGAGTATTTTCTTATTTGATTATTCTTCTTTGTTACCTTTCTTTTTTTTTAATAATTTATCCTTACCGCCAGTATACTTTAATAAAACTCTATCCTTCTTCACTTCCTCACTCACCCTCTTTGTACCTCATTCTCCTTCCCGCTTTTACCTCAATATTCCCCCTTGGCCTCGCTTACCCTCCTTAACCCCCCTCGGAATACGCCTAGTGGTGGATGAAGCTTCCATTATGGAAATTTTGAACTCATTCGAAAATCAATACTTACTACCCGATCGCCATTTTAGTAATTCTTTCAATGACGTTTTTTTTAATTTCAAACAAAGCCGCTAATCCCCCCACTTTTATCTGCCCCTCTTTGCCTCCAACCGTCTGTGGGATCCCTCCAGTAAAATCTCCTTAATTTCTTCTCTATCGTCATAATTGTACGCCGTTTTTAAAAATATAGTGGTTTTAGTTGAGAAAAAAATCAATTAAGAAGAATATTTGGAATTTTCGAAATTACCTTCGAATGATAGAAGAGAAGTGGGTGGAGGCGATGTGTTTTTATTTTCAATTGAATCATCGGAATATTGTAGTAACTGTAGAGAAGACGGAAGAGTGCGAGGAACGTAGTGAAATATGTTAGATTAATGCGGCGGTAAGATAGTAAATAAAGAGAAAATAAAGAGAGCGGATTGGACGAGGAGGGTTGGGACGTAAAAGGTAGGGGATTTTTTAGTTTTACAAACTGGTTCGAATTTTTTATGAAAAAGGCGGGTGAATGCGCGCGGGAAAACCGGTTGTGTCTACTCTACACATTGAGTTTGATTATTCGCTTGGTAAAGTCAGACAAAGAAAGAAAGGAAATAGTTATAGAGAGAAAGAAAGATACGTATAAAAGGGGAATGTCTCTTCTTGTCTTCACTTGCATTCAGAGCACTCAGGACCGTAACGACGTTACCAATAGAATTATTCACTAAATATTAAAAATATTTTTCATTTAGACATCACTATTCACCGTTATTATTATTATTATTATTATGTTAATGCCTTTAGATATCAATCAATATGTTTTGTCTCGATTCTTTCGTAATTAATACATGATTAGAATATATTGTGCCCCAATATTTTGGATGATAATTTTTAAGCCAATAAGGAATGAGTCACTTATTTTTTTTTTTTTTATTTCGATTATTTACTAACTTCACATGTCACATTTAGTTATCGTCACTCTTGATGTAGCAACGATTGTAATGGTGAAAGATATTATTAAAGTACAATCATTTTGTCTTATGTTTTATATGCATGATAATTTGTTGTCTCTTGATTCTTGTTCTTTTTTTCTCTTTTTCAATAAGTGGAATTGAGACGTACCAAGTAGATGTATAGAGAGAAGCATCTCGGACGCGCCCAACAAGTGGCCCTTGTCCTCACTTCCTAATCATTTCGTTGAGGGAGCGCGAATTTACTTCACAATGTCAGATATTTTTTGCGGTAGATCGCACAGGGAAATGAGAGTGCTGATTGATGTTAATTTAAATAAAATTCCATTAAAAACTCCATTAAGACTTGAAAAATATTCATTTAAATTAATGACTCAAAGTTTATTTTTTTTTGCACATTTCACAAAAGTTGCATCATCTTATCTACTATTTCAATTATAGTTTATTCAAATACAGACAAAAAAACAAAAATTGACGATTCATAATTTTTATAGAGAAATCAATAAAAATACTATTTAGTCATCTGCCGTTGGATAATATGGTGTATTAGAATCGATATTTGTGGTTTCATGGGAATTCCTATTAATTAAACCTAACCTAATAAACTTGAATTTAGCCCTCTTTATTTACTTGAAATACCAATTCACATGAATTCTAATTCAAAATACCTTAATTATAAATTTTCGTCGATTGATTTGGCAGCTGTTGATTATCATAATGACGGTTGAATATCTAAACTGAATTCAAAATGACAAATTCAACAATAACACAAGATACATTGACACCAGAATAATGATTGGAACACTTGTTAAAGTTATAAAAATAAATTAAAAAGCAACGCTAAAGAACAATGTATGCTTGTACAAAAGAGATTTGTTAACTATTAGCAAACGAATTTTAGTATCATCAAGTTTACATTTCACTAAGTACACAATTATTTAATGTCATCATATCGGATAGTAAAAACATCTTTTATTCTCTTCATGAAATTTTTTTATTGAAAAATTCTTTGAATTAAAAAATATAGCAATTAGTTGAATAATCTAAAACTTGGAATGAAATTCTTTCTTAGGGATAACAACTGACGATAAAAGTGTATATTTGAGCAAAGAGGACATCCATTTAATGTTTACCGTGAATAAAAGTACGTTAAATACTCACATGTTGAGCAGCTTTAGACGTTTTTGTTCGTTATTTTACGACACCAAAATGTTAGAGTGTGCAAGGAGGTTATGTTTAGAGAAAAAAAGGAATATCGGGGGCAGAGGGGGTAACAAAAGCCGCGAACATTCGATGTAGACCGAAGATAAGAGAGAAAGAGAGAGAGAGAGGGAGGGAGGCGTTGGAGGAGTTTAGCCGCGTGAGGGCAACAGAATCAGTTTAAATTGTACTGGAGGGAAAAGAAAGACAGTGGCGGCAGCATGTGGCGAACCGAGAGGTGGGGATGGTGGGAGTGATAGCAGTAGGGGAGATGGTTTTTTTTTTAAAGAAAAGGGGGTGTAAAAAGCACTGAAATTGGCAGAGAGCGCTACTTGTGCGCTAAAGAAAATGACCAAATACCCGTGCCGGTAAGGCAATTTGCTGGTATGAGAAGTAGGGGAAACCAGAGACGAAAAGAAGAAGGAGAAAAGGCATCTCAGCATTTGCGGCTATTGTAGGTCGTTGCATTTTATAACATAACTCCTTAATTTCCGTGATGCTATGAGTTGAATTTACACTACTCGACGTTTTATTCAAATTCTAATCTCGAACACGATGACGAATTTCTTTTCTACGCTCAATCTGATTAAGACTGGATTAAATAAAATAATTTTCCCTAATTTTAATATGGAACATGAGATTTCATGAAATGCATCACCTCAATTTTGTGAAAACAAATAATACAATTTTAATAATATATTATTGAATGAAAAATTTCTACGAGTAATCAAAATAAAATTGGTTTGACACTTTAAATAGTGAAAAGACTCTGAACATTTAGTAAACATAATATTTTATTTTGAAAAACCATAGGCCGCCATCTTATCAAGCAAAGATAATATAATTGATAGAAGAATATTTTGTATAATCGAAAGAAATGACTGCGACCAGAAATATAAAATAAGCTTTTATTCGAATGTAAAAACTATGTAAATGAGTAAATCTAGTCGATGTAATTTGCTATCGCATATTTCTAGTTCTTTCTTAGGGAGAAATCAATGCTCAGCCTTAATGTTTATTTATTTTCTTTTTCAAAAATGATTATTATTTTTATGTAAATTTTAAATTAAAACTGAGTTTAAACTGTTGTAATTTATTTTTTGTCTTTTTTTTTCATTTTTTAGATAAAAACTCAATTAAAATTCTTCAATTGTACAATAAAAATACTTTAATTAAAGAATTCATTGGATGTGTATTGGAATACGTCGAATGTTGAAAATGCAATACATGTTCATAGCTTTTAAATTGTTAACTATGTATTTCATTCAAAATTCTTCCGATATTATTGATTGTTAAAGTTTGACATTTTTTTCTCATCTTCGTAAACTGATAAAATGTAATTTTTTTTTCATTTCAATCAAATTGTTTATATATGTATGTATAATTATCGAAATATAAATAATATAGGAACTGATCTAAATCGATAGTATGAAAATATTCAAGTAATATTGATTGACATGAACTTTATCTATTTAATATTGAAAAAGTAGTAGTATGAGAGAATGACTTTGATGACTCGTTTCTAGTGTAAACATTTAGTAATAGCGTTAGGTATGCATGCATGTGCGTTTGTTTTGAGCGAATAAAAGCGGAAACCTACTACACTATTCAACACAACGTGTAAGTAGTGTTATAGAGCATGCAGTGAGGAACAGACTGAAGTAGGACGGCGTATAATATCACGGTAGAAAAAGAGAGAAAAAAAAGACTTGTGAATGGAGCTTTTACGTGAGAGATAACACACGCGCTATTGAGTGACGTAGAATCAGGGAGGTTAGGGTCGTCGGAATGTGGTTGACTTACGTATATTGTGCGTTTACTTGTTTTGTAAGTATTTACAATTGTTACTATGTATTATCAATTTTTATTACATATTTACACTTTACATTTCTAACAATCGATTTGTTCTCAATGTAATCATTAGATGATTGATGGTGTGTGATGATGGAGGTTAAGTTGGTAAAAAAAATCAAAATATGTCTCGATTTTAGTTGAAATAAATTTTTCATCACTATGTTTTTTTATCAATATCGAATAGATGTGTTGGGGATTATAAATTCTCAACAAGTTGGTTGTAACTGAAAAACATTTTCTGATTAATTTCTGAAAGTTTCCGTTTAAATTCAAACCTTATAATCATAGTCGTGACGCCATAATAGAAAGTTTAGTCTCTAAAATCGCGAGAAAGTTTACTGAAATAAATAAAATTATTTTAAAAAAAAAACAATGTTACACTCATTCTTATACATATTTTTCCGTTTTTTATCTGTTACAGATCATCGATACGTGGGCTCAGACTCGCGTAAAGAACGAGATTTTTATGATTTGAACACTGGATAATAGTTAACTGAAATTTTTTATTTTTTATTTATACTTTTTTACTTTTTATTCAGTTTTTTATTTTCATTTTATTCAAGACTATCGGTAAATTCTAGACAAATCAAAATAAAATATGTGAATACGATGATCGGACTGAATTGAGATTAATGAAATGAAAAAAAAGTAACGAAAAACGTTTGTCCTGAACGAGGAGGGGAAAATAAAATAGACATTTTGTTTTTTTAAATAAAATAAGTTAAGTAAAAAAGGCCTGCGCGCATGCAACGGCAACGTAACAATAGTATATCAACAGCCTCAGCGATTGCAACGCAACTGGCACCAGCTATGACAAACATGTTTCCACAGCAGTACTGTTTAAGGTGGAAATACCACCACAGTAATTTACAGACGATGTTCTCACAGCTGTTAGAGAGACAGGCGTATTGTGATGTTACGCTTGCCTGTGAAGGACAAACATTACGAGCACACAAGGTAAATATATTTTTTTACAATGCTGTTTTTTTTTTTAATTCACCTTTTACTTCATATTCAGTAGTCTACATCAGATACGAATAAAAATGTACTGTAATGTCTCCAAAATAAAAGTTTCTTAATTACTTTTTCTTTGGCAATTACCGACTGCCGATAACAAATGATGAATAAATTACTTTAAGCTAATTATTAATAATTAAAGGAAAATGACATAAAATTGGTATTAAAGTTAAAAATTGAAATTGTTGAGTTTGGAATATTCAAGGATTTTTTCTCAATGTTTTTGTTTATCATTTTTATCAAGAATAATTTTTTGTAATTATTTCTATCCATTATGTGTTAAATATCCACAATAACAATCTCGTGATTTGATTATCTACGCATGATGAAACGTAATGCATATTGACTTATGATAAAGTGTACTAAATAATTTTAAATTTACGTTATATTATTATATTTTAAGAAATAAATAACACATTTTTAAAATAATGGGGAATAACCAATCATTCATCATTCATATTTTGTATTAAAAATTTTGACAAATTCTACATTCTGTCTTATAAGCTAATAATGAGAATAATACTGATATCCAAGTCAATTATTATTTAGCTTATGTCGGAAAAAATTAAGTTTTATTTCCATTTATACAAGTATTTATGTCGATAGGTTTGATAAGTATCTTCCACTCTTTAGACCCTTCAATAAAAATCATTTTAATTGATGGAATTTTGACACAGATTCTTTTTTTCGCTTGATATTTTTATTTTTATTCACATTTATAATAATAATATGTACACGTATATAATTATATGTACTTTTTATTTATTGATTACTTTTTATTTAACTCTATAGAGTATACAAACTCGCCAAATTGTAAAATCAATAGCCAGCCTCATTAGTTTGTTTCCACACCTGTCATTTTTTTAATGTTTACTTTTCTGTCTTTTCCAGTTTTTTTCTGCAATTTATTTATTTATTTACCTCAATATCTAGTACGTATTGACAGGGGAAAAAAAATTTATAATTAAAATTTATTTCACTTTTATTAATAACAGCGTTAATTAATGATATCAACTAATCTAACTTTTTTTTTAATCACAATTATTTGAACACACATTATGATTCTTTGAAAAATATGATTGCTCTAGTTAGAATATATTCATTTCAGATTGACGGCTTTGTGTGTTTGTATTAAGGCCATTGTTTGTAAGTTCTGTAAAAGAAAAATTCGAGAAACTTGGAATGAGAAAAAAATTGTGTTTCATATCTTTCTTTTTCTATCTTTTTGCTTGAATGTTTTTTCGCAACCGCCCCCTCAAGTCCGTCGCTCTCTTACCTTATGTGTATATATATATATATATATATATATATATATATATATATAAAACCACCACTTTTTCATATTTTTTTATTTCTACTTTAACTCTGCAGACGCTCGGGAATTTTTTGATATGAACCGACTATAATAAATTCAATTTTTTCCATTATTAAAAAAAATTTTCATTTCCCCTCGTTCTTTTACTTTTTTCTTCTTGGGTTTTCAACTGTATACCAACGTCGGCGTCATTCTTTTTGTTCATTTTTTCGGGTTATTATTATTATTATTATTATTTATTTATTTATTTATTTATTTATTTGTTTATTTGTTTTCTTTAATTTTATTGACTTTTTGAAATTTTTTTTCCCAGTAGGGGGAGGTGGAGTAAAACGGGGCACTCTAAGGTATTTCATAAATAAAACCCATCATTTTTAATTGTACAATATGAAAATAAAAAAAATACCTGAAATTACCCATTTATAGAGCAGGAAGGGTAAATCCAAATGCTATTACAGTAAATAATCTACACATGTCTAATATGTTAAATCCCGTAAAGAAATCATAGATTTTAACACACTTCAAGGTGTGTTAGAAATGACTACGAGACTCTATAGTTTGGGTATAGAAATTGAACGTTTACAAACCGGGCAGATATGATTGTCTTCAAATGATGTAAGAAGCTACATAGTATCATCAGTTTTGTTTCGCTGCCTCGTCTTATTACCCCACCTTCCCCAACTTAAGTACTCCAAATACTTTTTTATATTTATAATACCCATTTTACATTCTATTAGTACTTCTCTCGTTTCCACCTCCTCCATTGCTCCTCCCAATTTTATTTTTAAAATAATTTTTCATTAAAATTTAATCTAATTTACGTTTATTACAATTTTTAACGATAAAAAAAAGAAGGAAAGAAAGAGTAATAAAACGATAATAGATCGACTCTAGGGGGTGTTGAGAGTCAAGATGAGGAGGAGAAATGTGCGCGGGGGCTGTTGGGACAGTGGGGATGGGGCAATAAAACAACTAGCACTTGAGGAAGGGGTAAAAGTAGTGAAAAGTTGACGCCTTCGGCCCCGTTTCCTTTTTACTACCTTATTTTGCGGACGGCATAAAATTCTAGAAAATCAATACAGACTTCTCGTTGGATATTAAATATTCAAGCTATTGACGCTACTCAACTTTGGGCGCGGCTTTAGGAAAAAAAAAAATATTAATTTTTACATTTTTAATTAAAAAATATTCTTTCCACTTCTTTTTAATAAATTGACTCGATTGTTTTTTGTTTCAGGTTGTGCTGAGTGCATGTAGTACATATTTTGATACAATATTATCACAATATGAAGAAAAAGATCCCATAGTAATAATGCGAGACGTTAAATTTTCTGATATCAAAGTTCTCGTTGAATTTATGTACAAAGGTGAAATAAATATTGATCATGTAAGTATTTATTTGGCGTCGAAAAGTTTTTCAAATTACACATTTTATAACGAGGGACAAAAGTAAAACATTCCAAGCCTCGTTTTAAATTACTTCCCAAACCGCAGGCAAAATGATTTACATCTCCTATACTACCCCCTCTCTTCCAATACATACCACATTTTACCATATTTGTATTAAGAGTTTTCGTTTTCTCTCTCTCTCTCTCTCTCTCTCTTTCTGTTTAGAATTCGATCGTGACATTGTTTATTTTTACAAGTTTTTATTTAACTTTCAATGTCTTTTTATCTGCTGTAAAATCTTGCAAGTCAATTTTGACCCACTTTCTGATCTATCTGATTAAGCTCAAATTTAGTATACACTTGTAAATCCAATGACGATACAATATTACATTTTAAAAATAATAATAGAATATTTTGAGTTAGTAAATGGGTAATTTTTACAGACGAGACTGTCATCCCTACTCAAGACTGCTGAAGATTTACATATAAAAGGACTGGCGGAAGTTAGTTGGCGTAGCGATTCAACACAAAATGATACGGCTAATAGTGGTCATAGTCCGGGAACTGCTGGAACTCCTGGTGTTGAGACAGTATTGAGAGAAGGAGAAGTTGATGACACGCCGCCACCTAAACAAAGACGTAGAGGTCGACCGCCTTTAGATGATCCACCAACCGCACATGATGTATTCACACCTAAAGTTTCATGTGTTACTGGAAACGTACGAACACTTCCTGTAAGATTTATTCACCAACAAAAAATGCATCCTCTTTTTCTCTTTATCAATTGAGTTTCATCTCAACTATTTATTATTTATCATTATTGATTCATTTTTTGTTTTATTGTGTGAATATTCTTATTAGTTACTAATATCTCAAAACATTATCTCAAGTAGTACATAATAAGTGATTTTTTAGGAAGAAATGATGAGTGAAGGTGGCGACCATGAGAGTTGGGACGATGAAACTATGATGACTGAAAACAATGAACCTCCACTACCCCCGGTAATTTATCCATCAATACGTATTTATCTTAAAGAAGATAAATAAATAAATTTTTTTTCTTATTTAACTATAAACTTTTTCCAGTTGGCGTATTTGCCAAAGGAAGAAAACTCAACAGTAGACCAAGAAAAAAAAGGTAAGTTTAATTTCAAGAAATACATTTAAAAGTAATAATTAAATTGTCATTTTTATTGTCTGGTTTATTTTTGACAGCACCAACAACTCCATCTAATTCAAACGCGACGAATTCAACGATTCCAGAACAGTTTCGTGACGTAGTCAAGATGAATGATTATTTAACGACGGGACGACGTCAAGAGTTCTGGGAAGAACCGTTCACACGACGAGTAATGGACGCAATTAAAAATAAAGAATTAGAAATGAAGACTGCAGCTGAGATACTCGGCGTTTCTTATGGCACGTTGTATGGAAGATACCGTGACAGTTATGGTTGCCTTAAACATCCTTACAGGTTATTTCATTGTTTTTATCAAATAAAAAACAATTTTTACTAAATGTAAATATAATATTGAAAAGTGTATAAATTGTAGAGTTCGAGATTTTTGGTCGGAACCAGGACCAGCGGAAATTTTATCAAAATTACGACGCAAAGAAATAACTTTATTCCGAGCAGCTGAATTTCTAAACGTAACCGTCCACACATTAGCGACATATTTATCGACATTACAAGGTCCAGACAGGATCTCGTTAGCTGGCGAATTGAGTGGTGCTAGTGCAATAGACATCAATGAAACAGAAGATGTAAATGACATAATTCAGAAATTTAATACAACACCACCGACAACAGGTGCCACAACGTCTACGATTAAACGTGAAGTTGGATACGCTGATTCACCAAATGTTAAAGCAAGTACAGTTTTGGAGAATAATCCAGACATTACTATTGTTAAAACCGAGAGTCTACAACGTAAGCGTGATTATTCAAAAGTAACTAATTCTGAAAATAATAATGCTAAATTAATGAGTGGTGGTGCGGTAAGTGAAATAACAACACAATCACAACAATCAACGAGAGATTCACAAAAAATAAATGATCAGTTATCGTTGAATAATGACCATAAACCTTAACTATTCAGGCCTTATTTCATCCATAACATCAATCAACATTTTGATGTTTTCGATTATTATTATATTAATAAACAAAATATTATTAATAATAATAATAGTAATAATAATGATAATAATCGTTTGATTGTTAATGATAATCATAATTACTATTACTATAATAACAATAACAATGATATCATTCAATCATCATTTTATTTTGAAAAATTCCACAATCTTGTCAAAAATAATTTTAATTAATTAATTAATTATTATTTAAAAAAAAAACACTTTCTCTTAAAATAAGTCAACAAATGATAATCTAAAAATGGCTGTTAAAAATTTATTTGCATGAAAAATTTATAAATTTTTTACATTCTTAAATAATAAATTTTTTAAAAAATTGATTTATTAAATAATTACTATTTTTTAATAATTATTTTTAAAAATTAAGTGATAATTAGGCGAATTTAAATTAAAAATTAATTACTTGAATGAGAAATAATAAATTCAATAACGTGTCCATGTTATCAAAAAATATTGTGGATTAGAATTTAATTATTTTTCGAATAGAATAATTCATCACTGATTAATCTAAACAGTTAAGTCTGAGATACATTGAAAAATCAGTTTTTTATATCAAAGACTCAAGTTGGTGATGAATAGAAGAACAAATGACGAGAAAATTTTAAAAATTGACGTCAAAAAAAATTTCTAAAAAATTGTAATTCGGAACAGACTGTGAAATTTTGTAGAATATTTAGTCATGTATAAAAGTATAATGCACGAAATGGCAAGAAAAATGTCATTTTGAAAAGATGATTTGTTTTTAAAGCGGACATATTGATAAAAAAAAATGGAAAAAAGAAGTCCCAATAATGGACCCCAAAAAAAAAAACAAACAAATAAACAAAACGAAAAATTATATTTTTTTTGTCTTTTTTATATATAAATGTATGAAAAAAAACTACTCGATTAATCAATAACTAATAATAATAGTAATAATAATATACAATAATAATGATATAGACTAATATTCAAAATTATTTATGACAAAAAATATAAAAGATACTATCGATAAAATGCAGATTACATGTAGTTGTTTTTTATTTTATTTTTTGATTAGAATATATGAGAAATATATTTAAAAGTATAAATATTTAAAATAACAAAGAAATAATATAATTAAAATAAATAATTAAAGATAAAAGGAATTTTTTTAAAAAACAAACAAAATTGATATATAAATGTAATCTCCCTAATCATCAATACATTATATATACAGTATATATCATGATTGATAAAAAAGAGTAAAAAACAATTATCACTTGAACATTATACAATCATTTTACACAAAATCATTATCGATGACACGTTGATTTCTCAGTTTAAATTGTGAATATTTTAAAGATTTTCTTGAGTAAAAATATTAAAATGATGATGATGATGATAAGGTGAATTAAATAATTATTTTAAAATTATTTGAAATAAAAATTTATTTCAAATTTATGGTAATTAAAAAACTGTGATTTTAGTCAAAATTCATACAAGATTATTTAAAATAAAACGAAACAATATCGTACTATGAAAGATAATAAAAAAAAAAAATTTCATTTAAAAAAAAAATATACAAATAAGAATGATGATGATGAAATAATAATACTACAAACACACAAAAGAATCAATAATTGATTGAAATTAATGTAAAATATTTTTATAAATTATTTTTAGCTGTTCATTTAATTTATGTTATTTATAAAATCCAGTCAAGATGTGTTTACGTCCATTGTAAATAGTTGAAATATTTAAAAACAAAAATAGTTAGTTTAAATGCAAAAAAAAATAACAATAATAGTAATAATAATAATGACATCAACAACAGTGAATACACGACGTCTCCACATATTTTCATTGTGCAAGTTTTTAATTTCAATAATAAATGGTGTAAAATGTTGGCTGAAAAATAAGTACTAGTGAATTCATAGTTGATATGTTTAATACATTTAGCATCTAACGACATTGGACTGGATGAGAAAAGTATTTTTTATTCTAATGTATTAATAAACATTATTATTTTTAAAAGCGAAAAAAATCAACCAATTAAAAAATAATTAATTATTAGTAAGTGGAGTTTATTTGAAGTATGGCAATTATTCGAGTTTAGATTTAAAGCAAAACAATTCCGAACAAATTGAATTATTTTTGTCTGTTATTAAGGTTTTTATATAGATTAAGATATGCTTAATTATTAATTATTTTTATCAACAAATAATATAAATTGATATAATTTTTTAAAACGACGACCAATTATTTAATATCGAGATTTGTATATTTTTTTTTGTAATTATCTCAATGTAAATAGAGTTTTAGGTAAAAACTAAAAATAATTATCATTCAATTTTTATTATTATTATTATTAATAATAATAATAATAATAATAATAATAATAAAAATAATTATAATGATAATTAATTAGTTTTATTAGTTAGCAGAAGAGGAAGAAGATTATTATTATTATTATTATTATTATTATAATAATAATTAAAAAGATAATCAACTTTTAAGTTTATCAGTTTTTGAATTTAAAATAGATTCTTCTATTGATAATTTAAAAATCTTTCTTATAAGACTGTATTTTAGTAAAAAAAAAAAATAAAAAAAAAAATAACTGTAAAATAATTGATTTATATATAATTAAGTTTATTTTGTATTTATCGTAATACTGTATAATTAAAGTGATAGCAGGGACACTTGTAAAAACATAATAACTGATAGAAGAAGACTTTTCAAGATAATCCTGATAATTAGATGTATCGAATTTTTATTTAACAAAAAAATACGAATAAATAGATACTACGAAAAACAAAACAAAAAATATGATGAAAATAGAAAAAGAAAAAAAAAAGAAAAATAAATAAAGTTGATAAAAAATCGGTCAAGGCCAAAGATTTATTGAATCCAAAGAAAGTGGTTTATTTAATGAATGATGAATTATACGTTAAAAAAAAAAAAAAACAAATCTATTCTGAAAATAACTGAAAAATATAAAATTTATTGGAATAATAAAACATTAAATACAACAACAAGTGTCCTTTTATTTAAAATGAATAAATAACAATTCGTGTATTTATTATTTTCATAATGAAAATTGTTCAAAAATTTCAACAATTAATTTCAACAAAATATTTATTGTTTATAGATCTTTTAATATTATTTCATAAACAATTCGTACTAATTTTGTATAAAAAGAATAGTGACAAATGATTCTGGATAAATAAAAAAAAAGAGTAAAAATTATTTTTTATGGACATAATCATTAAAATAATAATAACAATGCATGATTAATATAAATAAATTATTTAAGTTATTATTATTACTATTATTATCATAAAAATAGATTAAATAAAACAACAAAAAAAAAACTAAATGTATTGTGTAAATAAATATATAAATATACATTTATTTATTATTAACTTTTTTTTATATTAAATAAAAATAAAGATAAGACTAAGAAATACCAAATGAATTGTTTAAGCATTATTATTATTATTATTATTATTATTATTATTATTTGTTTATTTCATCTTTTTCTGTTTTAATTTCTACTATTGCATATCAATTGATAAAAAACACATACACTCATACACAAAATATTGATTAACTAAATTGAATTATTTAAAAATAAGAATAATGAGCAGAAAAGCAATGATACAAATAAAATAAATAGAAAAAAGAGACTTAAAAACAACTGATAATAGAAAACCAATTGTATTTATCTACTATAAATAAAATAAAAGATGAACATTTTTTGAAAATCTTTCGTATATTATGTACTTGACTAATTGATAAAAATGATAACAATAATAATAATAAAATAAAAAATAAATTATTAATTAATGACTAATTAATTATTAATTGTAGGAATGAAACAAAATGATTTAATCATTAATTAATAAAGTTATAAAACTCAAATGATTGACCATCCATTTAGCTGCTTTAATAACCAAGAGTATACGACTAGAAGTATTAATATCATTAACAATTGAATAGTTATTAGTTTTTACTAATCATTATCATCATCATTAATATTAATGTCATAATTATATTATTATTATTATTATTATTATTATTATTATTATTATTATTATTATTGTTATTATTAATGGAAAACAAAAAAAAATCATTCATAAATTATAAATATATATAAATATATGAATACATAACTATGATTTAAATATATAAATATATATTTAATAAATAATATAAATAGAAAAGAATTAATTCTATTTTATTCTCTATCGATTATCATTATTATTGCTACTATAATTGTTGATTGAGAAACAAAAAAATAGACTTGGAAACTGCATCAATATTGCCTACACACTGTTTTTGATAAATAAATATCAATTTTAGAATAAAAAATACAGGTAGAAAGAATTATTTTTCTATTAGTATGTTAATAGTATTGTTTTGTTATAATTAGTAATTATAGCTAATAATATTGGAATAAGATTAAATTAAAATATAATAAAATATTTGTAAATTTAATCAAGTCAAGTTATACATAATTATTTATTCAAATAATATTGTTTCATTTATTTTATTATGTTTAGGGATAAATAATTATGATAACAATACATAATAATTACAATAAACTTGTAAATGTTTGTCAACAATTTAGTATCATAATTATCTATTTATATTTGGTCAGTGCCTATATACATTTACATATACATTATTAATAAAATAAGCCAGATACTATATAAAGATTCATTAATAAATAATATTATTTAACATTTATTTATTTACATTTTTTTCAATTATTTATTTCAATAGTCATTTTATAATATATAATCTAATACATATACGTATATCTTGTATCTATCTGAAGCTGAGATTTACTAATCTTAAATTACTTTAAATTTCCCCCACCAAACTGCATATTTTTTATTTGACTTTGACTTGAAAATTATTTTTGAGTGAGATAGTCGATATAAGAACGCCCGCCATAACACCTCAAAATTTACTACAAAATAATTGATTATGCACTTACTACTTAACTTACACTGTCTAATCATGTAAACCATTTTTTTGAACATTTGTAAATATTTTTTGAGTGAGAAAATCAAATAAAAAATGCGCAGTTTAATGAGGAAAATTTGAACTTGGGAAAGCCGAGTCTTGATCATCATGGTGGCACTCTCAAAAATTCCAACCAATCAGAATTTATTAACCATCCCCAACTCCTTCAACCACCATCGGACCCAACATTACAAGTGTTGGCGGCTTTTCAATTTAGTTTCAGTTGATTCGCAGATCTGTGAATATCTATTAGGTTTTAGTTGATGATCAATTACAGTGTAAACATCATATAATTGTGATCGTGAATAGATTAAAAAGACATTTTCGAGTTTAGAAAGAGACTAAAATTATCGTGAATTTATAAATTGAAAAAGAAATAACTCTTCTTTGGTGATATTTCAATAAAACTCGATAAAAATGATGAAAGTTGTGGTGTTGCAACATCAATTACCTATGCCTAATCTGGCCAATTCATTTTTTCCCACTAATCCAAGTCTGGAGGATGAATTGCGACGACTTTTTGTCAACTTTAGTCTTCAGTGTCAACAAAATCAATCCCAAGATGTAACACCCAGTGGTGAGATGGAATAATTACTTTATTATTTATATTTTTAATTCTGCGCAACAATTTTATCTTTCTCTTCGTCAAGTTCATTTTCATTTGATTGAGGTTATTTTTTAAAATAATTAATAAAATTAATAATTAAAAGAATGCGAGGTCAGTAAACAGCAGAGTAGATAATTGTTTGCATCAAATAAAAATGAGATTGCTAGAATAGCACATTCGTGAGATATACATCGGCCATATTTATTCTTCAGACGTGCTTCAAGTCATTTATCTTGATACTCTATTATCGGTTCATGTTTCCTATGATTTCTCGAGAAAATCACGTCGGACTATGAATTTTTTGTTGCATTCGTAGTCCACCTGTTTCAACATTATTTGAATTATCCTCATGTGTTATCTTCATCGACGTCATTTTTCCTAATTCATTATTATTGAACTTATTTACAATTTGTCGTCGAATCTTAACATCCAACCTCATCTGTAGTTTCCTAAAAAATACTTGTTTGTCCCGCACATATTGGTTACAAATTTTCCCTCGGGATTTTACGCAAGTCCAAACATGTGTTAAGATTTGGTTCTCTTCCGCACAAGAGTCTTAAAGCAATAAAAAAAGGGTTTTGTGCATTGTTAACTGGTCAGTTATTGACCATCAGCTGAAATATTTAAATAAATCTTTTTAGCCGCAAGGGTGATCGTAAATCATAAATAAATAAAATAAAAACAAACAAAAACCCATACGGCTTTCCACTCACATTCCATATCTCTTGAAAAACTTTTTTCAATCTCAATTTGTAATAAAATATCTGTTGAGGTATAAATTTATGAGTGTTTCTGTTTAAAATCACAGCTTTTGTTGTTGACCACATTGAAGGATAAATAAACACATCGTGTTTTCCGTAATTACATTTTTCCCGTAAAAAAATACAGAAAATACACCGTAATAATAAAATTAAATTTAATTGATTAATAATTATAAATGATTTTTACAATTGAATTTCATTTAATTCTCACCAAATATATTTACATATTACTTCATAACATATATAATCTTTATTTTCCATAAAATAAATATAGTAAATTTCTAATAATATCTATTTATATTTAATGTTTAATATATTTTAATATAAATATTTTTCCAAATAAATAAATATTATGAACTGATCAAAAATGTTGAAAAATTTTTTAATAATCAAATGATTATGATGATATTTCAATTGAATTTTACTGAAGTTGCTTGATTTGTTGATTATCACAGCGATGTATACTTTGTATCGAAGAAATGACACGAAGAGTCGTGTGAAAGAAAAAAAAAACATTGGTTGTTTACATCGGTATTATATTGGAGAAAGTCAAGCCATAAGCAAAAAATAATAAGCATTCTCAATTTTTCGTGGTATCGGCGGTATCAGATAAACTAGTCAAAAGGCATTTGAGTCTACGAAAAATCTAGATTTCAGTAGAATTGTATGCCAAATAAGAAATACTATTAATTATTTGACACTAATCAATGATTACATGAAAAGATATTTATTCACCATTCACTTCCTACATTTATTTTATTATTATTAGTGTTCAACTTACTTTACTTTTGAGATAAATAATAATTAACTGATTCATCGCACAAAGTAAACATTATATTGGATAAATGTCAATAACCAAAGTTCCATTTCTTCTTGTTCAAATCGATAGAAAATTATTGCTAGGATTGTAATATGCGGCGTCTCACATTAAAATTAAAATTCTTAGAATCAATATGGTATTCCGATAAATCAAACAAGTATATCGGCATTGTTTTGATCTGAGGAATGTATCAAAATGAAGGATCTAGGTGACATTTAGGATGTAATTAAACACACCAAGGAAAGATAAATTGTCATCACTTGAAATGTAAACATTTTCAAACGTTATATATTATCGAGATTGAATTTGATTTAATGACAAATCAAATGGACAGATGTAAATATTGAATACGAAGGCGGTGTTTGAGTTTAGATTTTTCAAGTTTGTTTATATACTTTGTCCGACTTTGTTCCACATTATTTATTACACTAATATTTTAATTATAAAATAATGTATTGTTTTTTTCTTTTTTAGAAAAATATCATTAAATGCTAAAAAATATAATAATAAGTTGTCGGTTAAATTGACACACAAATATACTGTTGGGATAATTTTATTAATACTTGTCATCAATTGATACAATGTATGTACCAAGAAAATATTTTCTTCTTTATCGACTATTTTGAAAATTATATTACCGACTTATCGACCGACTTGTTGAACTGCTATATTTTTTTTTAATTACTTCAACATGTTAATTTTTGAAAATTACTTATAAAATTTGTGCAATTCTTTTTCAGTTGAAGAAATAAGAGATGAATTTCGTCAAAATGGCAAAGACTACGAATATTGTCCAGAATTAGAAACTGGAGAGCTTCCAGAATGTACTTATCGTCGTAAAAGGAAGAAGCCACTTCCAACAGAGTGTGTTTTCTGTAAAAATAATGGAGAAGATGCTTCATACTACAAAAAACATATTCTTAAAGATGCTGATGGAATTGTCAAGTGTCCCGTCCTGAGGTTTGAAACTCATTTACTAATCATTTTATTTCATTCAATTAAGCAACCATTTATTATTTCATTATTTATCTTCAGGGAATATAAATGTCCAATATGTGGAACATCGGGCGATCATGCTCACACAATCAAGTACTGTCCGATGAATAAAAACCCCGAAGTGGTGCCGATCATCAACACGCTGAAGGAGATGAGGAATTCAACAGGAAAAAAACGCACCAAGTAAGTTGTTTTATATTTACTCTTATTTATTAATTTTTATTTCGTTAATTTTTTTAAAGCGGGTTTTCTTTTCATCGCTAGAGGAAAAAATAAATTAGGCCCCTGGTGGATAATGTAAACCTACCAAGATGATAGGATCCATCGACAATCATGCTTATTAGAAGTAGTTTGTATACCTAGTAATACAGTTATAATGTTAGTAGTAGTTGTTAAAATAGTACTTAACTATTGATATGAAGTATATTTTTTATATAAACGATTTATATAAAAATTTATACGACACACGAAATCATTAGAATTAAGAAGACAAAAGAGTTATTTAATTTTATATATAGCGTTACTTGATAATCATGGAAACCAAATATTTAAGTACCAAAAATTAAAATCAAGCTTAAATGAAGATTTAAAAAAAAAGAAATCAAAATTATGACAGTTGATGAGAATGAAAGTTTATTTTTTTGACTGAAATTCTGGAATATTTTATAAAAATTTCATCTTTCTAAAACTCAATAGTTTAACACTTGAGAATAATTATGATTATAATTTGAAACCATACTTCTTATTGATAATAGATATCATTTAGAAATATGTTTCGTTCATTTAACTCAAAACCAAAACACTTCTTTAGTATTTTTTACTTAATTTTAAAAATAACAAAAAGTAGTAATTTTAAACTTTATAAATCTCTCAATTATTAAATCGAGTAATCAACCAATAAAAAATATCTATTTAACAAGTAAACATGATTGAACAAAATAATTACGTATTAATGTTTCTAAAGTATTGATTAAATACAACAGTTACATGATTAAAAAAAATCAATGAAGTAAAAGTTTAATCATCTCAACAACGTATTAAAATAGTTGAGTGTTTTTTCCTACACTCTAGATATTTCATGAGTTAATATTCCTTATCAAATCGTAAAAATATCAAAAAATGATCATTCAGTTCTGAGATTAATCAAAAAGGTTACTTTTTTCTTATGACGTACAATATACAATAATGTTTCGAGAAATGAAGGATGATATAAATATTGAGTGTTTAGTATTTTTGAGACTAAAATAATATTAGTTATTAAAGATTATTAGATAATCAGAGATTCTTGAGAATCAGAGATGAGAGACAAAGTAGATTTAAATACGAAACATAATTAAGTTGAGATTAAAAAAAAACCCTTATAATTGCTTGTTTTATAATGATAATTTTATGGTTTTTTGTGTTTGTGTTTTTTCGATGTTTTTTCTATTACTATAATTGTAAACAATAAGATTTGAAATCTTTTTTGCAATAATCATCAATATCTAATAATTGGAATATAATTCCTAATGATCTAACTAAAGAAAAAACTTACAGTTTTGTTCTTTATTTTTTTTCTTTTCTTTTTTTTTTTGCAAAAAGTTGATTAATATTTGACTGAAATTTAATCAGTTGAAATAATAAAATAACTTTAATTAAATTTTATATAGTACCTTCAAAACGTACTTAATAACGTATGTGAAAGATAAATTAATTACTTTGAAAAGTCTTTTAGCGAGTATAAATACGGATATTTTACAATGTCTTCTAAGTAATTTCATCCTAAAAATATGTTAACAGTACTATCAACTATTGTAATATTTCATGCGATCAATAATTGTACAACAGGTTCGATACTAATATTGACATCAAACAGATTCAACTTTTAATTAAATCGTAATAATTTCAATAATTCTTCAATTGTACAAATAACTTATCCATCAGAGTTTACCTAAACTCTAGATTACATTGCATTTCAATTCTGTTCTTTACTATTCACAGTTCATAAAACCGTGCTAATTAATGATTATACATTACTTTGTATTATTCATGAATTAAAAGTAAAAACTTTCAATACAGATTATGATATTTTCTTCAATATGTATTTATAATTATCAACAATTAATATTAAGTTATGTCTTTACTATACTATTATCCTTATTATTATTATTATTATTATTATTATTATTATTATTATTATTATTATTATTATTATTATTATTAAATTTGAGTGTTTTTGATAAATAAATAAATATATATATATATATATTTGATGTATTTTATGTTTTGTAAAAGAATTTTTATAAAATAAAAACTGTCCTTGTAAACTTTTCTTCTCTTTTATGTATGATATTAAGAGTAAGCATTGATGAATTAAGTCATCTTTCGACATAAATAATTGTAATTACGGTTAATTATAATTGTTTATTGGAAATTCTATTCTTTAAAACAAATATTAATTTAATTTTTATATTTTAAGTTATAATAATTGATTTGATTTTACAATGACAAAGTAAGGAAGAATATTTTTCCATTGTTTTTTAATAATTCAGTAATATGAGTTAATAAAATATTTATTCTAATATGGTTAGAAAAAAAAGAAAAAATAAACGCAACAAATGACCGATTTATTTTATCATCACGAAAGATCTTCAAATGCATCAGGATTTATTCATAATTTATATTCAGACAGTTTTCTGATGATTTATTCGAGTAGTTCTTGTAGTCATTTCAATTGGTTTTAGCGTAATAGTTTAAGCAGAACAATAAAAGTGAAAAACAATTATCTAAAAAGTAAAAAGTTGATAAAATCACGGGTGTTTCCAAGCATAAAAAATATTCAAGTATTCAAAATGATCGGTTATGACATGTTTATTACCCGGAAGTATGACGCAATCTTGTCTCTAATCTCTTTTTTATTATTAATAATTTGGGTCAAACATCAAAATTCTCACTCAAATGGGGAAATTTTACATCCTTGTGTCACTTTACAATTATTTTATTCATCAAATTCTACTTGTTTTTTTTTGTTTTTTGAAACAAGTTGATTGATAAAATCATATATTAATGTACGTAAAATAATATTGCTTTGTATTTATTAATTGGTTTAATTGTACATGAATTATAATTAGGATTATCTAGTTATCGTTATTAGTTAATTGTTGTTCTGATGATTGCCATTGTTATAAATGTAACCAATTAATTGATGGTGACAATAATGATTGAAAAATATTTATCTTTTTTCCACTTAAATCGAGAGATGGTAATCAACAGTAGCATGCAATTATTTCCGTCACTTTTATATCCAACAAACATTTAAACCCAACGATTGATCGTTGTAGTGTTCCATACAAGCTGGTAATGATTGTGCCTATGACTACACAACCATTGTATTGTACTTTATATACCCGATGACCTAAATATCCTTTCGTCACCTCTCTCAAGGCATAAGTATTCAATCCTCAACGCTATTTGCTCATTTCACTATCAAACCTCTACCTGAATAGATCACGGCTATTTTCAAAGTTGAAATCACTTTTGAGATCAATCAATTTTCTCTCTTTCTCCTTCTTTCGATAACTCTCCGTAACAAATCATTAATTAATAAGATATTTTAATGTGAATATAAAAAAATAAAATAATTCTTTGATAATGCAAGTGTGGTTTCGAAGCGTTTTTTTTTTAATTATAATGACAACAAGTCAAGCAGCATGTGCTTCAAAAACATTAAATTGCGTTAATCCCTTCTTACTTGGATTATTGAAACATAAATTAAAGTCTAAAGTAGTTGTTCAAAAAATAACAACAACACTGGCACCAATTGACTGCATTTGTGTCCCTTATTATCAGTGTGATGCAAATAATACCATCATTACAGATGGACTTGGACTAATAGACATCAGGTAATTTTTTTTTCTATCTTAGATAATACGATTATTTATTAATATTTTATTTTAATTTTTTTGTTCGTTTTACAGAGCTAATTATAGGCCACGAAGATGCACGGGAGATCTCGAAGTTTGTTGTAAGCCCCCAAAGCCACAGCCTCCACCGCAATCAACAACACAACCTGCTATGATGGCGACCACACCGTTGATCTTTTCTACTACTTCAACACAGGCTCCGACAACTTTACCACCAACAACTATGATACCGGGTACTTCACCCACTTATACATCTATAGTAATTACAACGGTGACAACACCTACTTCTGCTACTCAAAACTCACCCTCACCAACCACTAAATCTTCTACACAATCAACAACCATCTTAACAACTCCACCAGCAATTATATCTACGATATCTTCAACTACTAAATCCACTTTACCACCAACAACCATTCTCACATCACCACCGACCACTAGACCTACCTCACCATCAACAACACCTCAACCTACATCATCTCCAACTATGAGTCCGACCACACCATCAACATCTAGACCTACATCACTTTCAACGTCTATGTCTACCTCACTTCCTTCAAGCCCTACAACCATTCCATCTCCAACTACAAAACCTACTCCTTCAATTACTACACCAAGAACCACTACTTTATCTTCCGAAGAGTGTATTTGTGTTCCGAGTTACCTTTGTGACGAGGATGGCTACATAATAACCAATGGTGAAGGGATTATTAATCCACGTCTAACATCATTACCATGTTCATCAGCTAATGAAGTTTGTTGTAAAGTTCGCAATGAAAATAATATGTTGCCACTTACTAATTTAAAATCTACTACTAAATCTTCATCGACCATAACTTCGGTAGCAACATCATCAACAACGCCCACTAGACCAATGACCACTTCAACAATGTTTACCACTACTTCAACTATGTCTAATACTCCAATGACCACCTCATCAACAGTTTCATCTACTACTTCTCAGCCTTCAACATCAGTTCAGTCTTCAACTGATATGTGTGTTTGTGTTTTACCATCACAATGTGACTCTAACGGCTACGTAATAGTATCAGGTTCAGGAGTGATTGATCCACGTTTTCGACAATCCCGGCAATCTACTAATACTTGTGTACCACCTGAAATCTGTTGTAAACTTCCGTCGAACAATCAAGATTACGGTGTCATTTTTCCTGATGATGATCAAACTCAAACTTCTGTAGCTATTGATCCACGTGCTAATCTCACTTCGGATATCAGGAACGAGGGAACTACTAATGCCTGCCGTTGCGTCAAGTCTGCATCATGTACCGCTGGAAATGAAGTTGAATTAGATGCTGCTGGGATTATTGATCCAAGATTTAGATTGTGTTTCCCATTGGATGAAGTTTGTTGCAAACTAAAAGGAATCATCACGATGTCTACCAGCACGTCAAGTCCAACTACAACTAATTCTTCAAAGGTTGTCAATAAAGAACCAGTTCCAAATAGTGGTGAGCCGTTGTGTGGCGTTCCTGGTCCACCTTGTAAACCAGGTAATCAATGATACATTTATTTAGTGGTCTATTAATTGGTAATATGTGCATATATATATTAATTATTTCCCCTAGATGAATGTCCTACTGATGACGGTAGTGCATACTTTGCCGAATTTCCATGGATGGTAGCACTACTGTCACGTCGAGACACTGGTCAAGCACTTTTCTTGTGCGGAGGATCTTTAATTCATGTTAGAGCAGTCTTAAGTGCTACTCATTGTGTACTAAAGTAAGTATAAATGAGATGATTGTACTTATGGTGGTGGTTGGTTGTCTAATTTAGAAAAATGTTTATTCAACTTACGAGTTCTAGCCGTCAAAAGGGAACCATCGTAGCACGGGTTGGAGAATATAACACATTGGCCACCAATGAATCTGCTCCATTCCAAGAAGCCGAGATTCAAGCCATTGTCACACATCCACAGTATTACAGCGGTGGACTGTATAATGATATAGCAGTTTTAATTCTACAAACACCCGTTAATTATGCTGTTAATGTTGTTCCAATATGTTTGCCGGAGAAAACGACAATGTTTAATGCTGGGACACGATGTTTGGCTAGTGGATGGGGTAAAGATGGATTCGGTAAGACAAATAAACTTGAAGGGTGGTATTTTAAAATAAACCTTCTTTTATTATGACTGTCTGTTTAGATGGAAAATATCAAAAAGTTTTGCAAAAAATCGATCTGCCAATAATCGACCGTAATGAATGTCTAAATCGTCTGAGAGATACGAGATTAGGGAAATATTTTCAACTACACTCGAGTTTTATGTGCGCTGGGGGTGAAGAGAGCAAAGACACTTGCACTGGAGATGGTGGAGGACCTCTAGTATGTTCCACACCGACTGGACAATTTATTCAAGTACTCAATATAACACTTTTATTTTTTATTTAAAAAAAAAAAAAAAAAACTTTGAATGTAAATATTTGAAATGTTCAAGGTGGGCATTGTTTCGTGGGGAATTGGCTGCGGAGAATCAAATGTGCCAGCAGTTTACGTTAATGTGGCTCCATTTCGATCGTGGATTGACCAACAATTATCTAGCTATGGGCTCTTGTAATTACTATTATCATTTCAAGTGATAAATCAATTTGAATAATTATCTTAAATTAATTCAATATGAATTTTAAATAAAAACTTTTATAATTTTCGTTTCTTAAATAATAATTCTTTGAATGAATAATTCTAACTTTAAATTATATTTAATTTTTAATAATCTTATTGTGAGAGTACTTTTAATTCACAAAGGAAACTCTGATTTAGAAAATGTAGTCCATTCCTGGAATGCACTTTGTAAAATGGTCAAGACTTTGTCCTAGATTACGATTGGGAAAGCCCTTGGGAAAAAACCCAACTGAATAATTTTAAAATCCAAGTTATACAGTCGACATTTGTAGGATGAGTTTATCCACTTGCAAATTACTGTTGACTAATAAGTGGGGAACAAACGTATATAAATATGAAGAAACAAGTTGTGAAAGGAGAGTAGGGATGTCCAGAGAGCATTGAAAATCCGTGGCATCGGTCAGGGTCGCATCAATCGTACGACGTCACTTGGAAGAGACGGTGGTCATCGAAAATATCTAAACTCAATTCGACACAATTTTTGACACGTAAGTTTATCAAAGTTATTTAACTATTTTTTATTTTTCATCTTTTTCCTTTTTTCTCGTACTTTACTATTTTCAAAAACAAACAAAAAGTTTTAATACATTATATAACTTATTTAGAAGTTGATTTTGATTCATAGATGTTGGATAATCTTGATGAACTTTTATAGCCGGTCACTAAAATGTTGAAATTAATAATAAAAAACTCTCAACTATTCTGTTCTTATTTTCTAAGTCATTTAATACGATATTTTAAAGTCTTTAAAGTAAGTGAAAGTCATTTTGAAAAATTTGTTTTATTTTGTTTACAGTGTTAACAATTAATGTTTACTTTCGGGTTATCTAATGTTTCTCAAGAATCTATGAATTAACATAATTAAGAGCTCGATAGAATGTTTCACACATTTTATTTACTTTTATTTTTTTTTTTTTATTATATCAATAAATGATTAGAAAAAACAAAATAAAATTGTTAATTATTATCAATTGGATGATCTGAAATGATTATAATTTACAAACTACTATGAAAACATTTCGGGGAATCCCAACACCGATTGCTCAATATTTAAATATCAGTGGTGTCCTTGGGATCTCTACTGGAAACGTTTTACATTAAATACTTGATGTATCGTAGTATTGGAACGCAAGTATAATGTTATCCAGCATCCGTGACGTAAATTTGTCTATAAATAACTTGATAATGATGTTCTCTTATTAATATTAAATGGATTACTGATTTTAAAAAAATTCATTTTTTCAGGTAAAATTCACTAAAATGATGAAGAAACTAAACACATTGGGCGTAATTTTAGTTTTAATAATAGGATTAACCACTGCAGCTCCACAAAATGATAATTTAGATGATTTAATTAAAAGTGTCTTTGGTACTCCATCAACAACAACAACAACAACTCCATCAACTAATAATAGGAATGATGGAACATTAGATAGTCTTATAGACAATGTTTTTAATGAAAAAAATACCAACAACAATGTCAATAATAATAATAATAATAATGATAATGGGAATACTTTTCCGGGAACCAATAACCAGCAGGAAAATGATGATGACTGTGAATGTGTTCCATATTATCAATGCATGAATGGTTCAATTGTTGATGATGGAATTGGATTAATAGATATCAGGTGGGAAACTTATCTTTTTACACTATTAGACATCTCTCATTTTAACCCGCATAATAAAACATTTTAATAATCTTTTCATTATTAAATGCTTTTATTAAGGGGGAATATATTTTTAAAATTTTATTGAAAGCATCCAAAAAGGCTTATTTGATTTACTTTTACATTATATTTCTTCATAATTGACTAATATTTTTTCTGATGTCCATTTTTTTGGTTTTAATCATGTATCGGCCTGCTAAATGTGCGCTCTCTTGACTCTAATAATATCCCAAAGTTTCCCAAAAACTGCAACAAGGTATTCTTTTTTTACACACATCTACTCTTATCATTATTTATCAACATAAGCTTTCACTATTGTTTGTATAGTTGATTTATATATATTTTTTTTTAATAATCATTTTATTTATTTATCCATTTGTTTATTTAAAAATAATCAGAATAAGAGGTGTGTGTGAAAATTATCTGGACATATGTTGCAAACGTCCAAACATTGTCGACAATGAGAATCGAGTGACACCACCACCGATAATTAGACGAGGATGTGGTCAACGTCGTCCTGAAGGTGTTGGATTCAGAATCACCGGACAAACTGATAATGAAGCACAATATGCTGAATTTCCATGGATGGTAGCTGTTTTAAGAGAAGAGACTGTTGGTAGCAGTGGAGAAAAAATGAACTTTTATCAATGTGGAGGATCCTTGATACATGCTCAAGCTGTTTTGACTGCTGCTCATTGTGTTGCTAGGTGAGATTTATTATGAACTTTTGAATTAATAACTTGTTCTGACATATAATTTTTGGGCATTCTAGTAAAACTGCCAACCAACTAAAGATTCGAGCAGGTGAATGGGATACGCAAACTAAAAATGAACCTTACCCTCACCAAGACCGTGACATCGCCAAGGTCATTGTTCATCCTGACTTTCATCCTGGTGCTTTAAGAAACGACTTTGCCATTCTCATTCTCTCGCAACCAGTCGAATTGGCTGAGAATGTTGACGTCGTTTGTTTGCCGGAACAAAATGAACTCTTTGATAATGATAGATGTTTTGCCAGTGGTTGGGGAAAAGATCAATTTGGTAAATTAATTTCTTACATAAAACAAAGTCTTTTTCGAAGCTCATTCAATAAAATGTATTATTTGCTAAGGTAAAGATGGCCACTATCAAGTAATTCTCAAACGAGTTGAGGTACCTGTTGTCAATCACCAAAGTTGTCAGAAATTGCTACGTGGCACGAGACTGGGAAATTACTTTGTGCTTCATTCTAGTTTCATTTGTGCTGGAGGTGAACCTGGAAAAGATACTTGCAAGGTAAAATTTATTATTATTCACAAATATTTGAATATTTCTTTATGATGATTTTGTAATGACAGGGTGATGGAGGTAGTCCTTTGGCGTGCCCATTAAAAAGTGATCCAACCCGTTATGCACAAGCTGGAATCGTTGCCTGGGGTATTGGATGTGGTGAAAATGGCATTCCTGGAGTCTACGCAAATGTCGCCGATGCTCGAGGCTGGATTAATCAAATGTTATATGAAAACAATCTTTTTATTGAACAATGAGTGACTTTTTATTCTCAATTATTGCATTAGTCTATAGTATATTTTGAATACAAATACTTGAATCCCCTTCATTCATCTAAATACTACCACAATCAATTTAATTATTTTGTAAATATCTATTTACATTTTATTTACCCATTTGTATAAATAATTAATAAATTTCGAAAGAGATTCCCAAGTACAGTATTTATCAATTAATTATTTATTTACTTTATAATCTTTTATCGACGAAACCGGTGTAGTTGATTTAAAACTACTGTGCATTTGTATAATAAATAATAATCAATTATTTATTATTAATGATTATTAAAAAATTAATTTTCGGTTGAAGAAAATAATAAAAATTATTGCGAAAAATAAAATATTTTAATAAACATATTTTTTTTTTTAACTATAAAAAAAGATGCAGCTTGAAATACAGTTGCTTATTTGACTAATTTTATTCTAAGGAATGATTTGACTAGCACCGTAGTGGGGGAGGTGTGAAAATAAGCTCTTTGTTCTCGAAGTTTGGCGGGTTTGTAAGTAAGATTGCGTCTCATTTTTTTCAATCAAAATTCTCAACAATTAATTATGCAACAATCCAGAAAATAAAACTGGATAAAAATTGTACAATTAGTTGGATAAAATTGAATTGGTGTAATATCCTTAATCGAAATCATAAATTTCGACCAACAAAGGCTTAAAAAGCCGGCAAGTGAGAAAGGAGTTTTAGACTAGAAGATAACGCTTTTAATTGTTTTAACTGTATTGAATATTACCGAAAGACATTAAAAACGAAAATGAAATATAAATACTGACCTCTCATTGACTGTGGGATTCTTTTTCTCAGTAATACACCGTATTAAAGTGCACGTGGTTGTGAATAGAAAGGATAACGTTTATTTCATTTATTGACCATTTTATCAACATTTGTAAGTATTTTATATAAAATTTTACCACACTTGAATGTTTCATTTTTATTAACATTTTATCAGCAATACTTGTTATAAAATTTTTAATTATAATTAGACGATTTAATATACCTTTATATTATTTAGCCGCCATTTTGTTGGTGGTTCGAAAAATAATTATCCAACGGGTTTTTTGGTGATAAATTAATTAATCACATAAATTATTATTGGTATATATGTATTTTTATATGTATATAAAAATTATAAATTATATGAAAATAATTTAAATAATATTATTTTTTTTATTTTCAAGACAGATTTATAATGACAAAATAAATTGAAAAAACATTATAAAAATATTATAATAAAATGTTGAATTCCAGCTTTTTCACATTTTACAAATACTAACCTTTAATTGAAGGATTAAACTACAATGGGGAAAGTATCGGTAGCAAAATCATCACAGAGCAAATCCAAACGATCATCTTCTGCAAACACTTTGTCAAAACCATCAAAAAGAACCTACTCAAATGGAATAGTTAGAGATAATTTATTGCAGACTTATCCCGTATTACCAGTAAAAACAAGATCAAAACAAGATCACAAAATGAAGACCATTGAATCTGTTGAAGTATCAAAGACTACTGTAATGAATCATATTATCAAAAATGTCAAAATATATCTCGTCGACTTGATTCACACCAATCTTTTAACTCGAAAGCATCGAAAAAAATTGCAAAAATTGAAAGAGCGAAAGCCCAAAATGACAATCTCTGTATGCTCATCATTTGATTCTCATTATTCAGATATCTCTGCATCCAGTATTCGAATTAATGATAGAGAATTAAGATCGCTGCCGGTTCGTGATGAGAGAGTTAAAAGAGAATCATTATTTTTAAAGTATATTCAAGAACCGAATTCTAGTTTTAGTAATCTTAATCGATCTCAGGGCGGTGGGAATGTGTCAATTGTTGATAAGTTTCGTCAAAAGGAGAGTCAAGTAGAGGCTGCCAAAAATGATGAGGATGAAGAGAAAAAATGGCGTTTTTGGAATGGAGATATATTTTCTGATGGATCTTCTCGTCGAGGTACTGTGAGTATCACAAGCTACGAGTCTTCAGATATTTTCAGCTCAGAGGAATCGGAAATTGAACAAAAACGTAAACGAAGAAGAACACAAACGAAGAAATTACCACCTTCTTCATCAAAACAAGTACTAAGCGGAAACAAAAAAAAAAACAAACCCAAAACACCATCGTTAGATAAGCTTCCAGCTGCTGCTGATAAAACATCCCAAGCATCAACATCTAGTAATGTCATTGTTGAAGCTGCAGCTGAAATTCAAACAACGCTATTGTCGTCGATTAAGTTGAATCAAAAGGAAAAGAAAAATCGAGAACCCGAGATTACTATGAGGCGGACCGTGGTAACGTGGTCAGGTGACAAAAAGACTACTTGGATTCTGAATGTTATGCCAAAATCAGAAGCAGAAAGAACTGGTAAATTGGAAAAATTGAAGCAAACTCGCCTGGAAAGAAATCCTTTGAGGAGACTCAAGCCATCAAGTCCAAAGAAACGTGGTCCGTACAAGAAAAGGATTAAGGAAGAAAAGAAGAAAGAATATAAAAGCAAAAAACCAAAAATTGAAGAAAAATTACTTTGCTGCGATGGTCCATGTAAATGTAATCCTGAGGATGATTTAGTGGTGCATAAACTACCATCAATGCCGGCGATTGATACTCACTTGGAAGCAAAGAAACAGATGAAATCAGGTAATTCCAGATACATACAAACTCCATACTTTTTTTTAATACATTATTTATCAATTAATTAATCATTTTTTCTTTTCAATTAATTTGTAGATTTATCAATTGGCGATGAATCCAAATCAAGTTCAAAAAAAGACACAAACAAACGAGAAATATCATCAGTGAATTGTGATACTTTTAAAGATTTGCCGAATTCTGAGCCACCATCAAAACTCCGTAAATTGAATGACGGGAAGAAACATCCGGAAATAATAGAAGACACCGTTCTCCCTCCTGGCAGTGTTGTAGCATTGATCTCTCCTATAGCGAAGAATCTCAAAACACTGGGTCGCATCCCTAAAATAGATCCCAATATAAAAGCAGTATCTGATGAAAAATTAAAAGTTGCATTCGACAATTGGGCTAAAATACCAGAGCTCATTCCACTAATAAGCCCCACCACCAGTATCGTTAGCTGTAAAAACAAGATAGAAGTAGAAAAGAAAACGCCCACGTCTACAGGATCTATAGGAAGAAGTAAAATTGTTTATGATATTAAAAATAATGACCAGAAGCCGGTACCTTTAACCAGGAGAAATATTGAACTGTTCTCAAAAATGATTAAAAATCAACTAAAAAATGATGTAGAAGGGAATAAAATGGAATCCAGAGTAAGACTAAGAATATCGCGATTTAATAAAAAAGAAGATGATTCTAATAACAATAACGTGATGAGTGATGGAGTGAAGAGTAAAAAGAATCGAAGAGATTGGAAAAAAGAAAGCTCACAAGTCAACGATGGATCTAATTCATCAACAGAATCATCTCCTACCATGAATAAATACACACGATGTAATTCGGATGATTCTTTGCCGCGATTCGGACAAATTTTGCCGTCTACGAGCAATCCATCGACTTCAGATACACCGATAGAGAAGCGCGTTCTTGATTGGATTCGTAAAGACTTAGATATTAGTGATGATAAGAATATTAATGATCTGGATTTGAGTGATAACTCTTCTTCAATTTCGAGTGAAGCATTAAAGATAGATGTTTCAAATAGAGGTGATAATAAAACAAATCAGAAAGAAGAAGTTGACAGTTCTGTTTTAGAAATAAATCATTTAATAAGTCCAGATACTTCAATTGAGAATGTGACATTTGCTGATCAGTCGATAGTCGAAGGGAAGTCTGTAAATGAAAGTACTGAAAATCTTGACGATACAAGACAAAGTGTAGCTGGAGAGGATGATGAAGTTAAACAAAAAGATGATGATACTTCAAGTATCAGCAGTTCGAGCTCTAGTGATAGTAATAAGAGTAGTGATAGTAGTAGTAGTAGTAGCAGTAGTTCTGCCTCATCTCGGTCGAGTTCAAGCAGTAGTATTATTTCTAATGTCAACAAATCTTTGAAAATTGTTGAACCAGAAAAAAGTCCCAGTAAAGTTCAAGAGTCTAGTGTTTGTATTAATGATAAAACTGAACCCGAAAATAAGGGTATTGATAATCAAGATGTACTTGAAATACTTGATAATGACAAGTGTGATGATGACAAAGGCTACGTTAGTATTATTGATGACAATAACAGTATTAATAATAGTAACAATAGTAACATAAATGACAAGAGTATTGACGAAGAAAAGTCGTTAAAAGTAGATGATAAATCAAATGATAGTCAAGAAGAAAAGAGGCTTGAAAGTGGTGACGAAGAAAAAAGGCTAAAAGCTGAAAAAAATGATGAAAAGAGAATAGAAATTGACAGTGTTCTTGATGATAATGATAATATTGAAAAAAATAAATTGATCGAGTCCGAAAGTAACAATGGTTTGGAGGATTTAGAAGAAGATGAGAAAGACGAAAGTGATTGTGATGCTATTTCACTTTATGCCGAGTCGTTATTTAATGATAAGTAAGTATTTACATTTCACCACCGATTTGTTTTAAAATAAATAAATAATTACTTATTTTTAGGCCGGATGAACAATTAGTTTCACCAGAATTACCAACATTTGGTGATTTATCAAGACCATCAAGTCCTCAAAATGGTTACAATCGTATGGAATCAAATACCTTTGATAATTATTGTCAATTAACTGAACAAGAATTTGATAATGATTATCAAAATGTCAATATTCAAACTGATTCAAAAGGCTTAACAACGCGAAGATTTAGAAATCAATCGAATAAACAAAATAATAATCAAACTACCAACAATGGACATGTAGAATGCGATTCTAGTTATGCTCGCAGTCCAAATTCACATACCATTCATGATGATAATTTAGATCGGTTTAATTCCTACTCCGCACACCAAATTGATAGTAATTACAATATTGTTAGAAACAAAAAATTACACCAGAATTATGAGCAAAATTTTACCAAACAAAGGAATGTTTTTGATCCAGAGGTTAAAAAATCAAATCCTACTAAAGATTTCGTTAAACAGTTTTTCTACGGTAATTGTTTTCAACATTTGAAGACTGGAAATTGTACAAAAGTCGATAAATGTCGACACAATCATACAGTAAGTTTTTGATTGTTGATTCAATGAATTTGTAAGTAAGTTTGATCTTTTTATTTAATGAAACCTTTTTAGATCGGCAGTAAACTTGAACGTATCTATTTAGAGACTCCAGAAAAGATTCATATGACGCTCATTTACGCGTTCGAACAAAATTTTCATTTCTACATAAGGATTGTATATTGTAAAGCAATTGTCAGATTAGATATACAAACGATATTCAATTTTTTCGGTATAATATTACTTTCAAATGTGAGTAAACGAGAAATGGTGCCGGATTACATTAGATGGACAATAGATGCTTTGTTAGCAAAAAATCGCACTTTAAAGAATATAATAAATGTTTTAAGTATTCGAATAGCACAAATGGGAAAGTCGATAAAACCAGTAATGGCACCTGGTGAAGTATGTAACATTGTGATAAGTCATCTAGCAACAAAAATAAATGCTGGCTGTTATTGGGAGACATTTCGATGTTTGATTTATAATCAAGTATCACTGTCATCAGTTATAATATCCTATATATTACAAGAGAGTATTGAATTCAACAAACCCCTTTCTCATTTGAAAGATATTATGAATTTCTTAGATTCATATTTGAGTGATGAAGAAAATTTCACTGGAATTAATCCAGAACTGTTTAATAAATTTACATTGTTACTCCATGAACAGACTATAAAAGAACAGAAGATGCATGCTGAAAGTGTGGTGGAAATAAGGCAGAAACCACCAGAAGCTATTTCACTCGCATCACCGGACACCATGGATATTAATAATTTGCCAGATAATGTTAACCCTTTTATTAGTTCCATCAATACAAATAAATATATACCTGAAAGAGATTTAATTCCACTTCAAGATAATAATAATAATGATAATAATAATTTGAAGACTAAATCTGTTATTAATAGTGTAGATATTCGACAAAAAACTCAAGAAAAGGTGGAAGATAAACGAGATGCAGTTCCGTCAACATCTAAGATGAACGATATACAAGAATGCGCTTCGGAATCATTATTTGCTAATAAATATAAATTAATTCCTATTGGTGAGTTTAAAAATAATATTTGTCATTTTTTTTTTATTTAAATAAAATAAAATTTATTCTTTATTTACAGATGCTCCAAAGTCAAAATCAGTTTACGAAAGCTATGTTTGGTTGTTACGATCAGATTTAGAAAACATACAAACGGCAATAAAGAAAAATGATTACGATGAGATAATAAAAGTTTTAAGCGTCAATAAACGTTCTCAAAGTCAACCATTTGTGCGTGGATTTTATACTATACTGTGTAGAGAAATAATGGAAAGTGTCAGGCATTTAAATGAAATAATACAACGTACAGGTAATGATTTTTTTGATAAATCATCCAGTGAAGAAGTTAAAATTGTTTACGATTAATAATTAAAAATTTCATCATAAAAAATACTTTTATAAATTCGTACTTTTGTTTCCAATGAATCACTTCAATTAATTTTTTAGTTTATTTTTTCAAATAATATTTTATTTAAGTGTCCTCTAAGAGTACATTAAATAAAATCAAATAATTCTTTTTACGATAAAACAATTGATAAAATTATATAATATTTAGGATTAGACTTATCTCGAGGGAAAAATTGTTATCATTATGGACATTTATATATATTTATATAGATATATTTAGTTGGGTTTTTTTTTCCAAATTAAATACAAAATTTTTCTGTTTTGTTTTTTAAACCTTTATTGAAGATTTTAATAACCAAATAATGAACACTGGGCCTTTGACTATCAGAATATAACTATAAGAAGTATTATATATACTTATAAATGTAAAAAAAATTATTGATTAAATAAAATATTTTTTCTCTCAATTAATATTGGTAAATTCAAATAGTTTATTTATCATTTATATAAATCATTTCACATATTGGAGTTTATTTTGTCCTTCTAAATGTATATTATTTTGAAATACTCTAAATCCATGTAAAATGATTTAATATAAAGAAAGTAATCCCAAATAATTGAAAAGGTAAATTAACAAATTGTTAAATGAACAATTTTTTACAGTAAGAGCTGGGTTGTACGTGAAATTAAATCGATTACTAACTGATATAGGGATAATGTTACTAATAACATTAATCGATAATAATTTTTGGGTATTGGCATATCATTTATTACAATTACTAAACCTATATCTTGTTAAAACTGATGATCATACAGTGGAATTTGTTTATGTTTCTGTGGAAATTTATATCGCTAATCATAAACCACTGAAGGCGGTTGAATTGATTAAACGTGAGTGTATATGTTGTTTTTTATGTTTATTTCTTTTTGTGATGCATGAAATGTAATTTTTCAATTATTCCCAAAAACAAAAGGATTTATTGATAGTAAGTAATTGAAATATTTCATTCATCAACCGTCACAAATCCCTTCTATTTTTCATCTACTCTCCAATAGTCGGCCATTTTTAAAGTTTATTTATTTTCGACTCCTTTCTTAGGTAATAATCTGATGCTCGGTGACGTTCAAAAGTGGAAATTAAAATCAACTAATGTAAAAAAGGCTTTAAAACTTCATGGACATATGATGAGAGTTTTATTTCAAGCGCTCACCTATTTTTATCCACAATACGCTGTTGAGTTGTGTCGAAAAATACTTGATGAACAACAAAATACGTTTTATCCAATAAGTGAGTGTATTTTTCATCTTTAAACATTATTTTATTTGAAAATAAATGATAGAATAATGATAGAAAAAAACTCAGAGTTAAAATATAATAAAAAGAGTCTATTGAAAATATTATTTCAAAAACATTTTTTTATTTCTTGCAGATTTAACACGTGTGATCACAGATATAATAAATACTGTTTTAACTGATATCATTAATACTGATAACAATAATATCGAAAATATTGAATATATATATACTGAATTGTCAAAAGTTATATTATCACACAATGTTATTATTTACGATGAACTATTACGAAATATTATTATTGAAGTTTACCACACAGATGAAAAGTTGTCAAGACAATTATTTAAGTACGCCACCCAAATGGGTATCTATACAACTGTCAAGGTAAAAACAAGATTATTTTCAATAATTACATTCTCGAGTTTCATTTTGTTTTCAATAAAAACAATTATTTGTCGCAGTATCAAGCGGATTTTGTCGCAACATTGACTATTGATATTAATTTATCAGAAGAAGAAATGTATTTACTGCTTGCGGAATCATTTAAATCACTCAAAGAACAAATTGGATGCAATATTTATATTCTTCAGCCTCAAAAATTATTTTTTTACTTAAATTTAGAGGTAAATTTAAAACTAATTCATTTCTATTTATCTCATAATAATAAATAAAAAAAAAATATTTCAGGATATTCCGAGTAAAAAAATGTTACATAAAGATAGGATAAAGCTCAAAAATAATGTGCAAATTATGAAAAGCACTAAAGCAATATTAGGCAGAGTGTTTGAAAAGTTTAATCCAAAATTGAAGATGCTATCGAGAACAGTAGGTCAAAGAATTTGTAGACTGGTGAGCAACACAGTATTCCCTCATTTGATAAAAGATGATGATTAAAGTGATATTAAAATTTTATAGCTTAATGTTTATTTATGATTTTTAAAGGAATAGAAAATTTTCTATCAAAATTATTGAAATTTAATTAGTAAAGGATATATTGTTAATAAATTGATCGATCTTTCGTAATTTTTGCAATAACCAAAGTCTTTACTAACTTTACAGCTTTTATTTGATTAAATAATAATAATAATAATTTATAAATATTTTTATGTTTATTGTGCTATTTATCTGTTAACATTAAATTCTGTAATTAAATAACTTGAAAATTGTTGAATAATCAAAAAATTACTTATTGCAAATTTGAGCTCTGTTTTACCGACAGACTTGATTAAATACTTTGTTTTATATAACAATAATTTATGTAATTATTTATCATTAATAAAACTTTTGTATTTTCATTGAAAAATAATGATTTATAAGTTTTTTTTGTCAAATTAAACTAATCAAATTCTGGTATATCATCAAATGAATAACCTGGTATCTTCCTGTAAGCCAACAGTGCTACTCTTACATGATAAGCACCCGGAATGAACATTAAAATACCTAAAATTATCATCGGCCACAATCGATCACTGTACTGAAATATTTAATAAAATTTTAGTTATGTGTCTTCTCCTTTTTTTAATGACAATCATTACTTTTATAGATAATAATTACCTTTGAATCGATGTGACCACTGACTATTAGACTACCTATTACTAGTAATATTGTACCTCCAATAAATAATAATGTTGCTAATCCGATTGCCTTCCATGGTATTTTAATGGGTGGTCGTGTAAACTGTAATAAAAATTGTATCAATTGACAAATAAATATGATCTTGAAGGATAACCTAGCTAGTAATGACATAACGAGTTTTTCACACTTGATTGCAAAAAGCACTTACTTGAGAGTCGACAAATCCATTGTCGGTTTCAGTTAATGGTGTGTAATCCACGTTGTCGAATTGCCTTTCGTTTACTTTAATGTTTCGTCTCTTTGACATAATCACTTTGAATAAATAATCTGCAATAATGACAGAAATAGTATATTTTGAGGTTAAATGTAGAGAATAAAAAGAAAAAACAAATGGTCACTTGAGAAATGAAAGAAAATAGGGAATAAAATAAAAATAAACTCTCACCGTTATCATGCAAATTGCCATTGAAACCAAACAAATTAACCAACAAAACTTTTATAAACAATTTATTTGTAATTAATCGTGTACGTTATTTACTACTATTATTTCCATAAATTTTCTATTTATTCATTCAATAATTATTATATACCTATACTCATAGATAATTGATTTTTTTAACAATGACAACAACAACAATGGTATATTTTTCATTCACAACTCAAAGCTCACAATCAGTTTTTGCTCCAAATAATTATCCAAATTCAAAAATATTCACTGTTTCACTTTTCTTTATTATTTGAATAATCTAGTTTAATTATTTTATACAATTATGTTACAAAAATGTTAAAAAAATACGTCAGCTATCAGTGGCAACAATAAACAACAAATATATGAAGTTATGGTAGTATCGAAATGCTGCGATAGGTCGATTTCATCACAACAATCAAGTAGTCGATTTTTTATTTAAAATAATAGCGTGGGAAAATTCGAATACATTCACTAAAACAGTATCGTTATAAGTAATATTTTTTTTCTTCCGTTTGTTATATGTAAATGTAATTGATATTTTTTTTATCTAAAAGCCAACTGACAATAATTTTATTGTGCCAATCAAAGCATTGAATAGTCTATCATTGCTAGTGACTTATTACATTGTAAGCTAGTAACAAAATGTAATCAACCTTCTACTGAATATTCAGCAGAGGATTGCAGTGCACTTGTTATCACTGCATTATATCGATTTAAATAAATACATTTATTAACGACGAAATGAAACTACGCTAAAACATAAATTTATTATTGAAAATTATTCAAACTTGGTGATAAAATATTTTGATTTACGTTTATAACATTATTATATTTTCATGAAGGCGGTAAATATTCCATTGGATGTGACTAAAAATTTTTTTAAAGCATTTTTGAATACAGCTGTATATAAAATGAAGATAATTTCAATCATTTTTTCCTCATTTTATTGAATGGGTAGTGCATTAAATGGATCGATCAATGCGGCGCCGTTAACAAGCAAGCGCCCCCTCACGGTGGTCATACGGTCTCACTGTCTCGTCGCGTTTTCGACCATTTGTCACGACCTGGGGGTTGCTTCAGTGCGGGCTTTGGGGGCGACAAAGACGGGTGTGCCTCCCGTTACATGTTTCTAACATTTGCTATCAAATTTCAATAATAATTCGCTCTCTTAACTCACAATAATTATTCTACAAACGAAACCTAGTGTCTTTTCAAAAGTTTTAAGTGTCTAGTGTCCGACCATCGGTAAAGAAGTATCACACCTGTCATTGAAAACAAATTAGGGGTTTTTTTTATGTTCATTTCAACATTATACTTGGCCTAAAAATTTCGGTTTTTATCGAGTGCTAACCCGTCACTTATCGTCTCCCCCACTCGCTCGAGGTAATTATTTTATCGATCACTTTGTTTCCTTACTTTTCATTTCTCACCCCAGACCCTACTAGTGTCTAATGTTTTTTTCATTCATCATAAACTTGTTTATATTTTAAAACTGATACCATCACTTATTACCTTCAATTACATGACTATTTAATACTGCGGGACTGTGAATTTTATAACTCCAAGGACGGTTTGAAATCACATCAAAAAGATGTAACATTTAGTTTTAAAACGTTTTTTCTCATTAATAAATCATTTTTCTTATCTATACAAAAATATTATTTTTTTTCTCGCCAAATCACATAAATTAATTAATTTTCATCCACTGCAAATCCGGGTAAATTTAAACGTTAAGTAATAACAATTGGTAGACGCCTATAAACGTTTAAAATTCATCTGAAAAAATAACTATAGTTTGATTATGGCATTTGACATTGTAAACACTTGAAGTGTTTAGTTTCTCAACACTTGGATTTGCAGTGATCAGGTTGATTTATTACAAGAATTATTTTTTCTTATCAATGATGAGTAAATGACTGTCGAATGACTAAATGGAAAAATTTAATTGAAATAGTACGCATAATGGAGTGCCCCGAATTGTTGGAACGGGGTCGTAATTTTCGTCTACTTTCTCAAGAAGAGTTACCACAGCTCTTAGATTTTCTTACTGGTTACTTACCACAATCACTAAAGGTAAAATAATATAATTACTTATCACTAATGTTTATTAATTGGAAAAAAATCAATTTTTAGATTTTTTTTTATTAAAAATATTTGAATTATTTTTTATCCTTGGCGGGAAAAAAGGCAGAAAATGTTGACACGCAATATCTATATTGATTTTCGAGTACAAAAAAGCCGAGAAAGTGCGAAAAAATAACTAAATAGAAATGCATTGCGGAAAAAAGTAAAAAAAAAATACTTTCACGTGTTCTAGGACATAACCTTGACCGTAAACTTGATCCTTAGCATGTATAACTGGTAATAACGACTATAATAATAGCATTCGAATGCATGTTTTCGCTACTTTAAACTTTATTTTTTTAATACAATAAAAGTTGCTTTATCGATTATAGACACGCAATCTAACCATTAAATTCTACCGAAACGTTAAATGAATCTTAACTTTGTACATTGTCGTCAACGTTTAACGTGTAATTTATATTATTAACTGTAGGTAATAGAAACGGTTTCATTTTTTTTATTACTATTAATTAAGTATTCAGGTAAATATTTTGTTCTTATTCTTGCAGTTTCATCAAACTGTTTTGACATTTATTCAAAACAAAGTGTGGGATTTTTATTTTTATGTTGCTAACGAATGGCCAGAAGTACCGATTTGCCTTCATTTCCCTGGTATGACTCTGTCGGTAAGTAAACTAATCTACAATATATTAAGAAAAAAAAGTCAAATTTTTGACTGCCAATCAATAATTTGATTATATTTCAGCCTCATGGTTTATTGTATGAAAGTTTTGGAGTATTTTGTCCAACAGAAAATTTAGATAAACTTTATTTATTACGTGAAGAAGATGTATTAATAAATTGGAATAGACCATTATACATGAATTTTATTCATTGTGATATAGCTGAGGAATTATTCCGTCTCTATAACGATACTGGTTCCATAGACACCGTATTAGGAGATGTATGGGCATATGAAAAGGCCGAAAATAATTTATCGGATGATCAAATATCATTAAGTGCTGATGAAAATGTTGAAGTATTGCCATTAACTGCTGAACATGCTGAAGGAATACATGAATTATATCCAGCTAATGACATGGAATGTCATGAACTATTTTTAAGACTAATTAAAATATTTCCAGCTGCTGGTGTATTTGTTAATGGAAATTTAGCAGCATGGATGATACAGTCTTATTACGGTGCTATGTTTTCAATGCAAACTAAACCAGAGTATCGAAGAAAAGGTTATGGAACTCGATTAGCAAGGTTAGATTAATTATTTTATAAAAACAAAAAAAAAAGATTTAAAAGTTGAAATATTTAAATGTACTAATGCATGTCTTGCTGAAAACAATTGTTCTTTCTCTGTGTTTGTTTACGCAATACAAAATCTCTTTTATTTTTCCTATCTGCATTATCGACCGTTTCATTTGATGACATTTTCATCTTTATTTTATAGGTATCTAACAAAAGTCGTTGCCGATCGAGGATTTATACCGTTTGTTGTAATTCGACCAGAAAATGAAGCAAGTAAAAGTTTATATACGAAATTAGGATTTAAAAAATTATATCAAACTGTTCGAGCTACCTTTACACCGCACAGATATCATAGTGAAGAACAAGAAATAATCGAAAGAGATAATGATGATGCATTAATTATGCAAGAAAATTTTGCAAATGCTGTAAAACAATTAAAAATTGAACAACGAGTTATTGATGTTTTACAACATCCAGGTCAAGATGATGAACCAACGGTTATTCCAGACGGTGGTGACGATGATGATGGTGAAGACACTATATTGGATCCATTGAATGAAGATGACAATGACAATGATGTACAAGATTATTTAGAAACAATAGAGGAACAAGATTGCGTTACTGAACCTCAAAATAGTAGTGAAGATGGTGGAGGAACAACAACAACTGGAGATGATTGAAAAATATATTTTTCTTACGCTTCTAGATAATTTTCAAGTATTATAATTATCCGTATTACAATTATTATAATTATTACATATTATCGCTCAAAAGAGCTTATTTCAATTGTCTGCTTCAATAATGGTTCGATGATACGTCCTGCTATAATAAATCCCAAGGTAAATAAGTTTTCTATGTTAACAATCGTGCAGACAACACAGTCACTATTTATTTTATTGACTGTTTATTAATATAATTAATCATTTTTTGATAATTACGTTTCTTTTTTAACATTTATTTTCTTTTTTAGAGATTATATTTATACAATTTTACTGTAGGATTCTGGTATTGGAAAAAATAATTATTCAAAATTATAAGCATCTGATTAAATTCCATATCAATTTTTTATGATATTTGAGGATAAAATAAAACGTAAAGTTTATTAAAAAAAATGATGATAATTTTGAAATAATATGCTTTTTCTTTCATCACTGACCCCTGACAGTCACACATTTAAACAATATTCCTTTCCAGGCAATGAATGTAAAAAGTATACTATATGTTATTCATTTCAATATCTCGACTTCTAATGAAGTTTGAGAAATTTTCGCTTTTAGATGAAAGTTCAAACAATTCCATATAAGATGGATATATTATTGAAGTGACTAATTTAAATTGAAATTCATAAAAAATAGTATTGAGGTTGAAAAACATTAATTCGCGGTCATAAAAGGAAATCAAAGAAAAAATTGATTGAAAATAATATTCGACAATGAATGGAAAGATTTAATTTACCAAACACGCTTAGATGTTTGTAATTCGCTTCCATGAGTCACACAAAATTAATCTGGCCCAATACTTAGCCTCACACACACACACACACAAATATATATATATATACATATATTTGACATCATAAACATACATAAAAATTTGAACAAGCATGCGAATTTGAGTGTATCCAGACCAGTAGACTAGTGTGGGGTGTGTACTTTTTACTTATTTAGTGTGTCAGTAAGGGGCGAAAAACTAAATTTAAAAAAAGTAACAAAATAATTTGGAGTTATTAATATCAGAATCCTTTAATGCTGTATATATTTATTTTTAGACGATTCATTATAGAAAATAATTTGTTCCGAAAATGATGGTAAAAATATCTCAAATTATGGAAGTGAAAAACAGAAAAAAATATTCGATTAATCACATTGATTAAAGTAATTATAAATATTATTGTATCACGCGCAAAAAATTAAACTATGCAACGTATAAAGAATTCAATTATTATTGTTATTATTATTATTATTATTATTTAATAATAATAATAATAATAATAATAATAAGAGAAAGAATAAAAAATAGTATTATTTAATTAAAAATGTACAAGAAATGAATAATTATTGAGTACCAGATATTTATTAGTTAAATATTCAACAAAAAGACATTATGATTATTATTATTACTACTACTACTACTACTACTACTACTGTTATTATTATTATTATTATTATTATTATTATTATTATTATTATTATTATTATTATTATTATTATTATTATTTACGATTAATGAAAAAATATTTTTTAAAAATAATGGATTTATTTAAGAGATAAATTTAGTTGATTAAAAAAAAGAAAAATAGGGAGTGACCGTTTTTTTCAACACGTCCCGGGGGCCAGCTGTGATATTTTATTCAATCCATTTAATGCTATTGTTAATAATCAATAATATTAAAGAAAAAAAAAAGTAAAATAACATTAATATATTTATATATTATTTGAATAGCTAATTAGTTGAAATTAATATATCATGTAATAAACATATACGATGATAAGATTAGATACGTAATTTCAAAAGCATAATTTTTTTATTGATTTATTAATAACTAAAATATTTCATTTAGTCTTATCCCAATGGTAATATGTCAATTAGTATCAAAATAACAAATTTATTATAGAAAAAAAAGTAAAAGCGGTTCCTATGCAATTTTTAATATTAATACAATTTACGAGCTATTTAACAAAAAATAATCAACAAAAATGCATTAATATTGTACTTTACTATTATTTACCATTCAATTAAACTTTAAATTAAATTTCTAAAATTATTTAATCGATAAGATCTACAGATATATCGAAATATGCATTAATAGAATATCTATAATTCGTTATTTTTTCCAAATATTTTTCCTCTCACTTTTATGTTAAAAGTGCTTAATAAATAAATTTATTAATTTATCATCAATAAAATATTATGAATGAACTATGTGCAAAAATTACCACAACTATTGTGAAGAAGAAATATGAAAACAAAAAAATTAATAAAAAATAATAAAAATTTAAATAAAAAGATAATATTTTATTAATAAATAACTAAAAACTAATTTTCTGCCTATTATATTGTTTAAAAAATAAACTAACAAGAAATATAAATCAATAAATTGGGTAAAAATCCGTATCTGTAATTTACACATTCAATGTTTCATCACCTTCGTTATCCTTTTATTATTCACCTATACTAATGTACTTTGAAGGCAGGAAGTCTGTTTTAATTAATCACATTGTTTACTAAATATTTCCAATTACAAAGAAAGATTTTTTCTTATGTCCCCGTTCAAAGTTAAAGTTTGTTTCTTGCTGTCAGGTTGCAAAGTGACGTATTCTATCCCGCATTAAAAGACAAAAAATTGTCTATACGCATGCCCAGATGGATATTATCTCTCTCTGCAAGCGAGAGAATTTCACTTTTCTAAGCTCAAAATAGGCAAAGAACCTCAATTTTGGACCGAGCGAGGAAGAAAAATAGTATATTGGTCACAGGAACAAAGGAAAATATCCTTACTTGAATGCTTGCCACCCTTGTGATTTTACACCCAGATTAGAATACCATACTTTGCCCCCTTGTTTAACAAACTAACTATCTATCGACTATATTATTTACTAAATATTTCAAATTAAAAAAAAATTTATCGACTAATAATCAACCACAGAGTTACTCTATTGTTATTTAATGAAAAAAAAAACTAACGGTATATAAATTTTTTATTTTACTTCAACTTATAAATAATAATAGATAAACATCGATTGAAAATGCTTTGGAATGAATTAATTGATGAAGTAATAGAGATAATGTTTTTCTAGAACGCATGAAGATAAAACGTGAGTGAATTCAATCGCGAAAGAAAGAGAGTGACATCAACAGTACTAAATAAAAGTGAGAGAGACAAGAAAACATGACAGAGTAAGAGAAAGAGAGAGAGAGATCAACAGGGCATATACCGAAAGCGAAAGAGAGATCGGAGATTTAATAAATATAAACATAGTATGAAATTTATTTTTTTTAACATGATTGAGTGTACATGTGAGTGTCATGCGCATTACACTGATTTTCGTTAGTATTCTTTTGGCCAAGTGAGACGAAGGAACTAAAAATTCAACAGCAATGGATGCAAGTAGTAAGAGAGAATAATAATAGTGGTGGGGGGAGTAAAGATAGTAGTAGGAGAGAGAACATCTCCCACTACGATACAAATCGTATACTTTCGTATGAATTCGTTGTTATTCGGGTATGGGAGCGGGGCGAGGAGGAAGGGGAAAAGAGAACCGGTGGTGGGGGCATCTAGTGGAGGGGTTCTAGTGTACCTGTGACGTCACATAATTAGAGTAAATACAAAGTAGTCTTGATGGGACAGTGGCGTGTGTTACACCGTAACTCTTGTGTCCTTATAACTATCACGCGTTCAATTATTTAATTGGTTTTAAAATTAGTTAATTAATAAATTATTAATTACCAGTTATTTGAATATAATACAAAATATATATATATATATATATATATATATATATATATATATATTATCTTATTAAAGTATTGAATAATTTTCAAGTAATATTTTAACTTTTTTATTTCAAGTTTATAAATATGTGAAATATTTTCGAGTGCTGTGAATTTAATGAGTGTTATTTGGTGAAATATTATCCATCACTTGTTTATATGTATATGACGGTTCCATGAATGCGAAAATAGTGATTATCAAAAATGGATAAAATAGAGGTAAGTTTTTTAAATAAATTTATAATTATTTTTGTTTCAAATTAATTGTAATAATATTTTAAAATTATCCAAATATTTTATTTATTCACATTTGACAAAGGATATTTTATAATACGACATCTGGCAACGGAATAATAATAATCAGTGTGTTGTATCTCTTCAAACTTGAGAAATGCGATTAGACTACATCCCTCTCACTCGCTCTTCGTTATGTTGTCTTACTCTGTATTTCTCTCACTCTATCTCTGTCCCTCTATGATCATGTTGTCTCACTCACTCGCATGCAGACGTAGTTACGGACACATTGAATTCTTTAATACTATCCTCGTTTAACTCATGACATTTTTATTTTTTTTTTCCTTCTTTTCATTCTCTCTTTCTCTCTACCGATTTCTTTCTCTTTTTTTTCCTTCATTTATTTTTTTCTCTTTCTTGCACTTCTTTACATTATCTTACATTAGTACAAAAGATATTTATAACTCGACTACGTGTCATTTTAAAATTGAGTTTATCGATTAAATTTCAAAAAAATCATTTTATATTTACAGATTATTTTATTGTTTTATGGAATTTGGAAATATATATTTTTTTCTCCTTAATTTGTTTTTCTTAAAAAAAAAAATTCTCGTCAATTTATTCATTTATGCATTACTTCATGTTGTCGTTGTTGAACTGACCTTTCTTCCGTCATATTTACAGCATTTATAAATTTTTTAAATATTTATAAATAATAATAATTTAATTAAATTTATTATTATTTTTTTTTTGGGTTTTCCATAGTTTCTTAACTTTTATGCATTTGCAAAGCAACAAAACAAATAAATAAAATCTCTATTAAATAAATTAATTAGCTAATTATATAATTTATCTTTTAATTTAATAATAATAAATAATGACTATAAATGATTAAAAAATAAAAGCGTAATTGATAAAATAATATTTTTGTTATAAAAGATTTAACGAAAAGTTTTAAATGAGTTTTTCAAATGATATTAATATAAATATAAAATATTTATTGTTATGTTATTTCACAAACGATGAGTTATCAGGATTAATATAATACAAATACATAAAGAAATATGAGGAAACAAAATATTTCAAAGAATTGAATGGTATTAAATGGAAACAATAGACTCTCCACTAAATTCGTTGTATAGCATCGACTTTTTCGACTAAAATAATCATAATAAACTACCGCTCACTGCTTGAGTTTAGTCTCACGAGAGTGATCAAACACTACCATGCATTTATACACACGTTTTTTTATTTTATCTTAAATAACATTTTTTTTTATTTATACAAATACTCCAGTATAATCAGTTTGTTGATTTTTTGTATATAGATGATGATTTTTTTTCAATGAATAATTTTGTCAAATGAAATGTTGATCAAATATATAATAATATAAATGAATTATTCGATGAAAAAGGTGAATGTTGAAAATGGTTGTTTCGAATAAAAATAAATATCGGAGAGACATTTTGTTCGGGACTAATCTTTTCTTTAGAGTTATTCAAAACATCTGCTTGTATTCTTAAAATGAGAAAAATGTTTATTCATAAGGGTTTTTTTCCGCTTGGAAATAAAAACTCATGTAATATAATTTACAAATTACACTTTCTCATTTGACATATTGGTATAAAGAAGACAATAATTTAAAAACAATTGTTATTACTTTCATTCATCATTGAATCATTTTCCTATAAATTAGTCATATCGTTAAAATATTAATAATAACTATTTTTTTGTCTTTAATGCTGTAATTGATGACACATAATATCCAATATGAAATAAAACGATTTATATTTTTTATTACAACTGATAAAGAAAAGCAATTCTGTCTTTAAAAAGAAATCAATAAAATAAAAAGTTGAATTAATTCTGTCGAAAAAGGTATATATTTAATAGAAATAAAAAAAGGCATAAAAAAGAGTCTCAACATAATATTATTTCAATTAAATTAAAATAGTATTTCTTTTTTAATATAAATGTTGGGAAAACTATTCCAAGTGCATTCGTAATGCAAACGTGTCGTAGTTGTGTTGGTGTATGTTGGTTGAGTTGGACGCTGACTCGATAGATATATCTGTCTTTGTTCATTCAATGTATTTTACTATCCACATTTTATAAATCTATCTCTGTTGGTACCAAGTTGTTTATGGTCGATATTCCTATCTCACTTACTCTCATATATTTACACTATTTAACTATCTCTCTTCCTCACTCTCGTTTATTCCCATCTCTTTTACTCACTTGTTCACAAATTTAATTTTCTATCTCACTCACGAGTGTGTTTGTGTTGGCTCTTTCAATGTGTTAAAGATATCCTTGTGTAATTTTAATACACTAGTATTAGTACGTTATTCATGGTATACAAACGAGTTTTACTAACACAAAAATACCAATCTTTTTTATCATTATTATTCAATTTATTTATTTTATTTTATTTTTTTTAAAAAATTTTTTTTTGAATATGTTATTATTTCTTTAAATCAACTTATTATTATTATTATTACTTTATAAGTATCAATTATTGTATTATTTATACAATGTATCTATGATAATTAAAATTTAATCAATAAATATTATTTCTTAACTTTAATGGTTCTTTCTATTATTAAAATTTAAATGAAATAATATATAAATAATAATCATGGATAATTAATTAAAATAATTAATAATATAAGAGATTTAATATTTTAAATGGTACTTTTGAAAGTATAAAATTATATTGGAAATAATTAATTATATCTCTAAAGTCAACAATCCGTTATCACAATTGATAATATAATTTAAAATAAAATATACTACTTTATCTTTCAGTTACATCAGCATTTATATTAGATTGTATTTCTCTTGACATTCATTCAGATACTTTTTATATTCATTTTGTATTAATAATTTTTATTATTATTATTTATTAAAGTTGATACGGATACATATAAATTATATCTATTTAGAGTTATTAAAAAAAAAAAGTCACGGTTTAGTCAAAATTGAAATACAAAATATATAATAAATGAAAATTATTTTAAAGGACTAAAATCAATACCATTGGTTTCTCACTATTTAGTTGCAATTGAATTTTCTAAAATACATATACAACACAAAACATTTCATGAAAAAAAGAAATAAAAAATTTATATTTGTTGGAATATTAATAATATTTTAGAATTTTCATCAATCAATAATATTTTGTATTTTTTAATTTTATAAACGGTTGTGAATAATTATTGAAGCACTAAAATAAGTTCGTACAAATATGTAATATGATTAAAATGAAAATAGAAAGTCGTAAAATAAATGATAGGAATCGTCTTCAAAATAAATGTCAGAATAAAATTTTCACAACAAAAGAGGAATAGTGGGGGAGGGGGGGAAGAGCATACTTTTCAATAATTTTCCCGTTCTACCTGGTAAGTATAGAAAAAAAAAATATTTTTTAAAAGGAAATAAAGGTGGGAAATATACGGATTAAAAGGGAAAATTGTTTTATTGTGTAGAAGTAGCCTTGAGATGGTTACTTGGGGCCTCGAGAGCCCCTGGCAAAGGCAATGAGTTAGGTAGGAGTCGGTACCGGCGTAGTGAGAGGGCGCGGGGGTAAGTCTAGTATATACTAAAGTGGAGGGGCCGAGGAGAAGGGAGTAGGAGGGAGGGGGAGAGAGAGTTAAAGAGAAGGATAAATTGCAAAAAGGGGAAACAAGACGTGAGGGGAAATATGGAGAAAAAGATGGAGGGGTAAGAGGTGGAAGTGGAAGGCCGAGAGAAGCTTGTTCTCAAGTCTTTTAAAAATAAATGACTATTTATTAACGGCAAATAAACGCTTCGAATTATTAATTTGGAAATTTTTAATTATTTTAAAAGATTCACATGAAAAAAAAATTTTTTTCTTCTTTAATTTAATTTTTTATTTATTTAAAACATCAAATATTACTCATGTTTACATAAAAAATTTTAACTTGAATAATATTTTAAAAATTTTAATGAACAACATTTTGGTAATAAATACACCGTTGCCAAAATCATTACAAGTAAATTAATAAATTTTATGTTAAATTCGAAAACTTTTAAAAATGTACATTTTTAGGTTTTCGAAATTTCGATTGTAAACATAAATTTGGAACAATTGTGTGATAGTTATTAGAATTAAAAAATAAATGATGGTTTGATATTTCATTCTTATTGACAGTTATTGGAAAAGAAAAATAGATTAAAAAAAAAAAAGATAGAAAGTGATAAGAGAGAAATAAATAATTAAAATAAATGATTTTTTAGAGGTGACTGTACTGTCTTAAAACATTGGAAATAGTTATGACAGAGGTTCTCAAATCTTATCACCCAACAAATGTGTATAAATATATATACACACACATTTCCATCTTTTATCTCTTATCGATTCAATTATATAATAATCTAATAATATTCTAATAATTTTACTTCATCTTATCACTTCACATACTACTCCATACTCATACTATTAATTTATTTCTATTTGTTGATAATTAATTCATCTTTTTTAATTAATAAACTACTTAGAACGCATTGAATATTAATAATCATGAGCATAAGTAAACTTTCCAATGAATAATTTAAGGCCTCATTATTAATTCATTTATTTTTATAAATATATATTAATAGTAATTTCAAGAACATGAAATTACTGAGATTCCTAGTCATTTTAATTTTCTATTCAGATTTAATATTCTTTCTTTTTTTCTCTCTTCCTCTCTATTTTTCTTGTTGTTACTTTATCTTTTTCTTTTTATCTCTTAGATCCGAGCGTGTGCGGTACGAAATTGCGTAGATTAAAAATGCAACAATTTTTTTATGAGTAAAAAAAAAAAAACAAAATATTACTGAATTTTTTTTTCCCCAATTAAAGAATAATAATAATAATAATAATAATAATAATAATAATAATAATAATAATAATAATAATAAAAAATTAATGAATAAAAAATTTTTTGAAAAATGTAAAACAACTATGAAAGTTATATTGAATAAAGTAAGGGGATAAGATATAATAACAAGACTATTTTTAGTTGTTAAATTGTGTTGATAATGAAAATATTTTTATCATTATTACTTATCAATTGAATTTTTCTAGTGAATACAAACGAATTTATTATAATATTTATAAATAATAAAATTAGATTGTGAAATAATAAATAAATTTGGTGTTTAGCTGTGATGAACATACTTGATGATGTAGGTATAGTTGAGTCGGTAATTAATTATCGACTGAGCGTGAAAATAATAACTTTTTTGCTTATAAACAAAAATGACGAAATTCCGTTGAATTTCAAATAGATGACAAATAAAGGAATACAGAGCGGCAGGAGGGACTAGAGCGGTGGTGCGGTAAAGGGGAAGGGGTGGTAACGTTAAGAGTAGTGGATGAGGGGGTGAAGCGGGGTCACTAGTGGAGTGCAGCGGGGACAGAGAGGAGGGACTAAGCAAGAGCGAAATAGCTGATAGAGGGAGATAGACAAGGAGTTAGTAGAGGGCAAACTCGATACGAACGTGGAGATCGTGTACAGTCTGTGATAAAAACGAGGTCAAATATAATATACCATTATGTATTATTAGTAATCATTAATTAATAATTATACAAACAATAGACTTTATTGAAAGTAATATGTTAACAATATATTATTAGTCATCAAATCCTACATTCCTTTATTTTATTTTCATTTAATCAAAAAGAATGAAAATTATTTATTCCATTTTGATCATTAAATTAATTTATGACAAAAAAAAAGACAGATAAGCAAATACTAGTCATTTTTGTATTAAAAATAATTAGAAAAAAAATAATTTTTCTCAATTGTTTATTTTTAGTTTTTGTAATAAAACAAGACATTTTAGTATCGCACTTGAGTTAAACACACACATTTAAAATATGAATATCATGATAATGGAATAATTAACACAGTAAATGAATGAATCATGGGATGTAAATGTTAATAAGCAGAAAGATAATAATGAAAATAATCAAAATTGTATTAAATTATTTATTATTTTTTTAAATTTAATTTTTTTCATTCAATATGTTTATGTACATATTGATAATTTTTTGCGTCATCAAATTAGTGTATTTAATTTTTGAAGCATTTTATTTTTACCACATTCAAGAGTAATTAAATTATTCGAATAGTTGGTTAAGTAGAAAAAAATAAATCAAGTACAGTCAATGGTAATAGAATTCGACCTTATTCAATCATGTGTATTTAACTGAATAAGTTTCAAATATTACTTTATTTTTATTGAAAATAATATTGTCAAATATTAACATAATTTTTTAATGATCACAAATAAATGGTAGAATGTAAATTTTAAAAAAAAGTGTAATTAATTTTATTTTGTATTAATGAATGACAACAAAAAAAACTAACCTTGTAACCATGTTGAATGATAAAAACAACAATTGGTAATAAGAAAATTAGTATGATGAAAAAAATCTAAAAAATAATAAATGTAATACTAATAGTTATGTATTGGTCTTTTTGTTACAGCTATTGGGCAGTGCTTGTTTCAGTCATGGCCCATATACATTTTACAAAGCAGTTAAAGTTAATAATGGACGTGTATTGCGGTTGGGTAATTTTTTTTTAACCAAGTTATGGGCTGATACTGATTTAGTGAGTATTGGTGAACTACAATTGTTGTGGATTGACAGTCGTGGTTCTAATCAACCGTTAGCATCATTAAGACTTTATTTCCTGCCTGAAAATACACCTGATGGACGTCGTGATACACACGGAGAGGTGAGTCATAGTAATCATCAAAATATATATCATGGCATGATGATGCTTATCTTCTCTCTACCTAGTCAAAATCTGTAATGAAGGTCAACATTTGTTATTTTATTTGAAAAATTTAAATACTTTCAAGCATTATCAAGTCGATAATACAGTTAATTATTTATTTATCAGTCGGTAAGAAAGATTAACCACATTTTAATATCAAACATTATCCACTAAACTATTTAGTATTTTTTCAACATTTTCCATCATCAACCAAATATTTAATTTAATCGTATGTTTGTAGTTATATCTGTAGTTGAGAAGAATTAAATTAATATGGAATTTTTTTTCTCTTTCAATTATGATATTTTTGTTTTATTTTAATGGAACCAATTAACTAAATGTGCTGCACTGCATACATAAAAACGTAGTGGTTGGGGGTGCATAAAGTTGGGGAGGTGAAGAAAAAGTCGACTAAAATAGTAGAGAGGAGAATAGAGCGGATTGGGTGTTATTGGTTTCTATTGCGCATGCTCATTATATACATATCTATATATTGTACGTAAATCTGACAAATTATTACTAACATAAATATTCGCGTTATCACTATTTAATCCCCTGTATTATCTACAATTAAATCTATAAAAGTCCCATTGATTTCATCATTTTTACATTAATATTAATTTCATTATTATTTATAAAATTTCACTTAAATATTTACTGTATTATCATTATTGAAAAAAATTTATTCTTTTTATTGAATTCAATTTTACGACAATGAATACAAAAAATGTGCAAAAAACAGGGACACTGGTAAGGCAAATAAAGGAAGATGGTGAGTGAATAGATATAGAGAAGGAGGTAAATGTATAAGAGAAGGAGGAGGGGGAGGGAGTTAAAGAAAAATAAATTGTCCAATTGGAAACATGCGCAATGAAGAATAAATGCAAACAAGTAAATAACACAAATTGGATATGGCGGTCATATGTATAATTATACATGTGAAATTTATGTGTATGTTACACACTTACTATCCAAGTGGCTTCGGCTTCAGAGATGTGTATCCATGGTAACCTTACCCCTTCCACGCTCATTTTACTCTTCATCTCCCCCGTATTTTCTCTATCCCTACTCCCATCTCTCTCTTTCTCCCTTGCGCCTAAACCTCCTCTACCTTGTTTTCCTCTCTTCAATGACTCCTATTCCCTCGTTTCACTCTTTCTCTATTTTCCTTTCCCCTCTAAAACTATTTCTATCTTGTGATTTAAACTCTTATACTCTCTCTCTCTCTCTCTCTCTCTCTCTGTCAATTTATTTTATTACAAAGTTTTATAGAGAAATTATTAAAATAATAAATTCCTTTTTTCTTTCCATCTTTCGTTTATTACTTTGATCCAATAATTATTATCTAAAATATATTCATTATTATTAGTTTAAATTTTTGTTTTTTCTAAATATTTATTTACTAAAAATCATAAATTAAAGAAAAGTCAATAAAGGTTCGATCGTTTTATCATCAATTGTCCTGTAAATTTAATCTTTAGTTCAAGTATATAAATAAATTACAAATATATTATTAAGAATTCAAATATAAATGTTAATGAAAAAATGGGTGAGTGATTTGACATGTCTATTATCTATAAATAAATACATTGAAACAACTGAATATAATAAATTTATAGTGAAAGTTTTGAGTGTGTTTATTATGTGTGAAATAAATAGATCGGATAAAAGTCACAAGTCACATAAAATATTTAACAAGCTCCACTTTTCAACAACAAAATAATATAAATTAATTTTATCTTTAATCAATATTTTATCTAAAAGAAAAAAATAACAAAAAGAAAAAAAGTCAATATTTAATAAATTTATTTGTGAACATAATTAATAGTTTATAATGTCATGTAATAAAATGATTTCAATACTTTCTAATTAAAATAAATAATCAATAATTACAGTAAC